AACTAATTACCGCAACTTGTGTGAAAAATATTCTTCACAATTTTTTTTGTACCGTAACTAAAAAAATTGCATATTACCATGCATATGTATAAATCGAAGATTTGATTCTGATATTAGAATTATTGTTAGCATTTAATTTTGATGTCGTTTTTTTTTTGCAAAAATATCTTACCAAAAAAGATTTACATAGCAAATATCGTATGTACTTTAGGAATATGCTATGATTTCGGTTTGAAGAGTAGTAATTGTTTTATTTATAATCGATTATTTGAATATTTGAAGCCCTAAATTATAGCAAATAGTAAACGACATCTACTAAAATCACAACAAAATTATATCTTAGGTAAGGAAACAACAATATTTAGTATTAAATTAGTTGGGATTAGGTAGAATTGGAAATATTAAATCGAGAATATACACTCGAGAATATAGCAACATACTCGAGATTTACTTTGGTTAATATCTTTATTAAATTTTGCAAATTAAATAATAAAAGCTAATGGCATACCGATTAATGTGAGAAGAAGTTAAGGAAACAGAGTTTAAATAGGTAATTAAAGAATTAATGACGTTTTTTTATTACATATTTCCTTATATATCTTATCCAGGATCCGAACAGAATAAAACCGGGTCAAAACCCGGATCCAAATGATTAAAAGCAAAAAACCCCTGTAAAAATGTATATGTAGATCATTTTTTATTCAATTGGCTAAAGGTTAAATAATTCAGGTTTGTTACATTATTTAATAACAGGTATATGTTAAAATTGGCTAACGATTACATAGTTCAGGTTTGTTATTTGAAATTTATGTGGGTTCGAGTTGATAATTGGGGTTGATATTGGCCGTTTTTCCCCTTTGAATCTCATTAGAAGGTAGATCTTCCTGATCTCATGACTTTCCCTCGATAATAAGCTTTAGATATTATATCCATATAATCCATAATAAAATTAGGAGATCAAAGGTAAAACATAATCATATTTATTATTTTTTTGCTAAATTTTATCTATATATGTTAAAAATTAAAGAAAAATTTAAACCATTTGTGATAAAGATTAAATTTAATAAAATAGCAAGGTGGTCCAAATGAGCAAAAACATATTTTATATATTTTAATCTGGGTTTTTCACATCTCTCTCTCGCTTCCGACTCAGTACAGCTAGTCAAAGCTTTAAAATCGGAGCTTCAACACAAGGAGCTTCATGGGATTCTTTTCGATATCCTGAATTTATATTCTACCTTTGATATTATTTCGTTTAGTTTCATTCCCCGTTTGCAGAACTCAGATGCCGATTCATTGGCAAAACAATCTCTGGTTTCTCTTGTAATGGGTCTGGCCCAAACCTAAGTTAAATTGAATCAGCCTATGCACAAAAAACAAATATATATGTTACACTTAATTATAATCATATTTAATTTACGAAAATGACTTCAGATGATATAATAAAAAATTTATCTTTGAAAGTTTATATTAAAAAATTTTAGTTCAGTTTTGATATATATATATATAAATTCAATTGTTTAAAAAGAATGCCATTTTATAAACTTTGTATATATATAGGTCATAAGAGTACAAAAATTTAATAAATATAAAGTAATGCCGTTTATCTAAATACTTTAATGGCATGTTAGGTTTTAACTGAATTAGTCAATTATGATATTCTATGCAATTAGCAAACATAATTCTTTTCAAAAATCCCATGAGGATAGAATTAAAAAAACCTTTGGTGGAACTTTTTAAATTTTTTGGTTGAATTTCATTGGGTTGGTTTTATGGAAACTTTGATAAAAATAAATACAAATTTTATATTCTTTCATATGATCTTTATTTCTTACTTAATTTGTATGATTGACTAAAACAAATTGAATTCAAAACATAATCAAGTCAAATGTTATAAAATATTAAAAAAAAAAAAACTATTTACTCGAGCTATATGAAACTCAAACGTCGATCCCTCTCAAACGTTGAGTAATTATGTAAAAGAAATAAAGAATGGCATAAACTATCAGATAAAGAATGACTCATGATCCCATGAGTTTAACGTATTCAAGAACAAAATCATCTTGAAACAGCTTTACAAATTCATAAATTTGAAAACAAACTCTTAACTTTTTGATAAGTGATGTTAAGAATAATTACATAAATGGTTTTTCAATTTATATCATAATTTTTTTAAGAAACTTATGGTTTTCAAATTTATGAATACATATAGATCATAAGAGTAAAAAATTTAATAAATATAATGTAATGCCATTTATCTAAATACTTAAATTTATAATTACACTTTAACTTACCATAATAATAGATATAAATTTTCTCAATGTATGTATATAAATCTTATTGGTGAGTTGAAAAATAGAGAATCAATTAAAAATAGAACTTTTAAAAAAATAGAACACTTTTATGTAGAACTAATGGTGTTGGTGAACCTAACTTGAACACCATATGAAATCACAAACCTAACTTGAACACCAAATGAGAAAAATTTTGTAGATATTTTTTCAATGTGGACAATAGCCTGAAATAAAGAGAAAGCAACTAAAAATCAATAAAAAATAAAAGAATGGACTGGAAAAAAACAAAAACTCTACAATTGATTTTTTAGCTTCACATGTGGGTAATATATAGAAGTAGATTAATTGGAGTCAATATTAAGAGTATTAATTTACACTCTAAAATTAATTAGATTTAATGTTTTGAATTAATTGGAGTAATTGTGGTTATCTGTTAGCCTAATGCATCAATTTAGAGTTAACTAATGCATCAATTTATAAGTTCATTTGTGGGTTTTACTTTGGGTAACTAATTCCAGAAAAAAAAACACTTATATATTTCGGTATTAGAAGCCACATGAAAAGCGTTACTGAGAAATTACATTGACTGTTACATAAGTTAGAATTTCATTCACTGAGAAATTTATAATACAATATACAGTAAAACCTCTATAAATTAATAATGTTGGGATCAACTCGGAAAAAAATTATTATCTTATTAATTTATCGATTTATGTCATATTTTACACTGGTTCTAACTCGGAACCGAAAATTTTTATTAATTTAGAGAGGTTATTAATTGATAGAGTATTAATTTATAGAGGTTTTACTGTATGGGATGACATATTAAATTTAATAATTCCTGTAAATTATATTATACTATATAAATACATTAAATGTATTGTGTAATAAAAATTGTAAATAAATACTCCAACTTGGAGTTGTAACCTGTGAGAATAAATTGGTGTTATAAATTTTTTCCTTAAAAAAATTAGATTGGAAAGAAGAAAAAAAAGAGACAAATTAGAAAAGATTAGAAATGTATTTTATGGAGATATGAAAATATTATGTAAGATAGAAAAATGAGGAAAACAATTAAATTTAAAAATAGATGCCAAATGTACTAATATTATGAGAAGTTTTTAAAATGTACTAATATTTTGTGAAGTTAAAATTTTACTGATCCATAATTTTGAATCAGATGAATTAGTGGTGAGTAAGTAGATAATAATTTTGGCAAAACAAATTAGATATAAATTTCAATTTAAATACATGTCAAATGTATCAATATGATAAGAGAATATCTTTTTTGGAATTAAATTGTAGGTACAAACTTTCAAAACTAAAGATTTTAAATACATTAAAACAAACATTAATGAAATGAAGGAGGACACATGTTACCAAAAGAGAGTGCCAAATGTCGCAATTAGGCCTGGGCATTCGGATTTCGGATCGGATGCGGATCGGATATATTCGGATTCGGATAATTCGGATATGAGAATTTATTATCCGTTCGGATTTTATGACTTTTCGGTTCGGTTTCGGTTCGGATATATTCGGATTCGGATAATTTGGGTAGGAGATTTTATTATCCGTTCGGATTTTATGAGTCATCGGTTCGGTTTCGGTTCGGATAAGTGTCGGATTCGGATCGGTTTTCGGGGGAAAAAAACTAAAAAATTGTTCAATTTAAATAAAAATTGGTTTAATCTTACTAAACTTTGGTCAAATTTTGCAAAAATATGTGTAATTTTAACAAATATAACTAAATTTTTTCCGAAATCTAAGGTTATTTAGGATATTTTTGTTATTTGCTATAAAATTACAACTAAATATAACTAATATTTTTGGATATATAATTTTATTTCCGGTTTTCGGATATCCTTTCGGTTTTCGGTTCGGATCGGATTCGGTTCGGATAATTCGGATAGGAGAATTCATTATCCGTTCGGGTTTTGTGACTATTCGGTTCGGATTCGGTTCCGGATTTTTCGGATCGGTTTCGGATCGGTTTTCGGATTTCGGGTTTTATGCCCAGCCCTAGTCGCAATGGTAGGAAAAGTTAGAAGTAAACCTTCTCATATTATATAAGATGTCGGAGGTCGCAAGTGAACTCTCATAAGTCATATCTGAACTATTTATCTGGTGAAATCGTTGATTTACTTCTCGTGTTTTGTGATATGTGGATTCGCATGTAGGTCCATGGCCATATAAACCTATTAGAATTAAAATGTAATGAAATCTTAAATTTTTAAAATAAATAAATAAATTAATTTTTAAGATATTGACAAAAAGAAAATTCTTAATTCAAACTCATAAATAGCATAAATCCAATCTTAGCTTATTTAAATAGTTGCTACTCTAATAAATCTTTTCTTTAGTTGACAAAAAACAAATAACCCATCAAGTATATATGAGGAATGCAGCTGGCGGATTGAACCCTATATGTAAAATAGTATCCACCACTAAAATAAGACGTTTAGCAAAATGGGGCACGTAATTTTAAGAATTTATGATCCATAGGCCGTTGTATGATACACATAAGATACAATCTTATAATTAACCAAATCACTAACCCACCAACCACCCCTTTTAACCTTCCTATTTGGTAAAGAGACATACAGAAACAAATCTTTTATATTAAAAGTTGCATATAAATCCTATAAATACTATTTTCTACGTTGCATATATCCGATATATAAATACTACCCTCTCCCCATAAGTTAACAGAGTTTGTATGAAACAAATTTCAACAAAGAGAAGAGAAAAAAATGGGAGAGCAAGCGAAAGCAAATGTGTTAGTCTTCTCATTTCCGATACAAGGACACATAAACCCTCTCCTCCAATTCTCAAAACGTCTACTCTCCAAAAACGTTACCGTCACATTCCTCACCACTTCCTCCACCCACAACTCCATCCTCCGCCGTGCCATCGCCGGCGGAGCCACCGCTCTTCCGCTCTCTTTTGTCCCCATAGATGATGGCTTCGAGGAAGGTCACCCATCCACCGATACATCACCCGAATACTTCGCCAAGTTCCAAGAAAACGTATCTCGAAGCCTCTCGGAACTTATCTCCTCGATGGAACCAAAACCAAACGCTGTCGTTTACGACTCGTGCCTGCCTTATGTTCTCGACGTTTGCCGGAAACATCCCGGCGTTGCTGCAGCGTCGTTTTTCACTCAGTCCTCCACCGTGAACGCAATCTATATTCATTTCTTGCGTGGAGCGTTTAAGGAGTTTCAAAACGATGTCGTTTTGCCTGTGATGCCTCCATTGAAGGGTAATGACTTGCCCGTGTTTCTGTACGATAACAATCTCTGCCGGCCGTTGTTTGAGCTCATTAGTAGCCAGTTCGTGAATGTCGACGACATTGACTTCTTCTTGGTTAACTCTTTCGACGAACTCGAAGTCGAGGTAATTCTTAACTTTAGAGTTTTGTTGTTTATTTTCTTCTTAATTACCTGCAAAATGCAATCCAAATAAAAATATTTTGAGGTGATTTAATTGTAGAGATTGGATTCTAGCCTACTGAATCAATTAGTACTTGATGTGACCCATACCAAAATTAAAACCAAGCAATAACAATACATTAAAGTGGCAAATTCCAATTGTAGTTAGGCAATTTGTGAAATAATTCCTTAGTCCATTATAGTTGTAGGTTTCGGTAAGAGAAAACGGTACCAAATAAACAAAAAATAACGTTTTTGATATTGTTTTTATGATTGATTTATAATTACTAAAACGATAAATCCCATACCGAGAGCCTTAACGTTTTGGTAAATAATACTAGCAAAAGGAAATATAAAAAAAAACACATCATATTATTTCGACTGACAAAAGGAACATCATTTATCTTCGGGCCGAAAGATCTCGATTTGGTGGGGCGATATCCAAGGTGCAGATTTTTTTTTTTTTTTTTTTTAATCCAAGGTGCAGATTATTTGTAGTATATCTTATGCAATTGGATGGGGTCTTAATTAACGTGGCAAATATGTTGCCAGAGAATCACTATAGTCTAAAATATACATACGTGATACGTGTCACTACGTTTACCTTTCGATTATTAGCATATGTACACATTGGCTATGCATGTGGGATGTGTCCCTTACCAAATCAATTTTTTTTCTGGGCATTAGACATGTTGAGTGACCCACAAAGCATATATAGTTAGGCTAAGCAATATTTGGAATTAGTGGATTGGTTCAAATTATTACTATTATCATCATGGGGAAGTTTTGGACAATTGGTCAATAATATTTTTTGTTCGTAGATTAAAAAAGGTTTAATTAGTTATCCATATTTTTATTTTCTTGTCGCTTTATATCTTCCAATGGCCCTATTCTTCTAAGGTTCTTGAATTCCTTTTCTAAGCCTGAAAACATGACAATTAGAAAACGTGATCATGTTTGGTTCAAACTAGGAATTGTTAGTCCGAAAGCTTCACGTTATGTCGGGACGGTTAATTGACATATTTACATTTTAAAATGTCTTTTTAGGGTATGGCCTTACGGGTTTCAGCTTATCTATCAATTTCAAAACGAACAGGTTTCCTTGTTTTATAAAATCAACCTATCACTCTTTCTTTAATGCATGTATTAAAGGGAATGATACTTTTCTTTCAGGTGCTACAATGGATGAAGAACCAATGGCCGGTCAAGAACATAGGACCAATGATTCCATCAATGTACTTAGACAAACGGATAGCAGGCGACAAGGACTACGGGATCAACCTCTTCAATGCCCAAGTTAACGAATGCCTTGATTGGCTTGACTCAAAACCGCCAGGTTCAGTGATCTACGTGTCTTTTGGAAGCTTAGCCGTCTTAAAGGACGATCAAATGATAGAAGTCGCGGCTGGTCTAAAACAAACTGGCCATTACTTCTTATGGGTTGTCAGAGAAACCGAAACAAAGAAGCTCCCAAGCAATTACATAGAGGAAATTGGTGAAAAGGGATTGATAGTTAATTGGAGTCCTCAATTACAAGTTCTTGCACATAAATCAATTGGTTGTTTCATGACTCATTGCGGGTGGAATTCGACTTTAGAGGCATTGAGCTTAGGAGTGGCTTTGATTGGATGCCGGCTTATAGCGAACAACCGACTAATGCTAAGTTTATAGAAGATGTGTGGAAGGTTGGGGTTAGGGTGAAGGAAGATCAAAATGGGTTTGTGACGAAGGAAGAGATTGTGAGATGTGTTGGAGAAGTTATGGAAGATATGTCGGAGAAAGGGAAGGAGATTAGAACAAATGCTCGGAGATTGATGGAGTTTGCAAGAGAAGCTTTGTCTGATGGAGGAAATTCTGATAAGAATATAGATGAGTTTGTTGCTAAAATTGTGAGGTAAATTGATGGTATGATCAATTCTATGATGCTAATTAATAATGTGTTTTTTTTTTAAAGCGTTTTTAAAATAAAACAAGTTTGGAATGTAACTTATGTTGGTTTGAATACATTTTTTCTTCTGTCATCTTCTTCTTTTCCCTCTCATTTCCTCCCTAATCTCTTTTTTTTTTGCTTTATCTTTCTTACAAATCCGTAACTATCTCACTATCTAAACAGAGAAATAAACATATTTGATCATATTATTTATGTTTAAAAATAGAGAAATTGTTAAAAATGCCCATTTTTCAATACCCCTTTTCAAAAATGCCCCCTTTGAGAGTCCATTTTTAAGTTTGCCCTCTTTTAATTTTTAATGACCATTTTACCCTTATTTGAAACAAAATTAGGTCCACAAAATACAAAATATTTTTTGGCGGGAAAAGTGATCCCGCAATTTTCCCGCCAAAACACTTGTAAAAACCTTTAAAATACCTTGTAAAATTTTCCCGTAAAAACTTTTCCCGCCAAAAATTTTTTTTTGCGGGAAAAGTGATTCCGCAATTTTTTTTGCGGGAAAATTTTTGGCGGGAAAAATTTACAAGGTATTTTAAAGGTTTTACAGAGTATTTACAAGTGTTTTGTAAGGTTTTACAATGTATTTTAAAAGGTTTTACAAGGTACTTATAAGGTTTTATAAGGTATTTATAACTTGTAAAACCATATAAAAAAACTTGTAAAACCTTATAACTTGTAAAACCTTATAAAATAGCTTGTAAAATCTTATAATATCTTATAAATACCTTATAAATACGTTGTAAAACCTTTTAAAATACATTGTAAAACCTTATAAATACCCTGTAAAAAACCTTTAAAATACCTTGTAAATTTTTCCCGCAAAAAATTTTCCCGCCAAAAAAATTGCGGAATCACTTTTCCCGCAAAAATTTTTTTTTGGCGGAAAAATTTTACAAGGTATTTACAAGTTTTTACAAGTGTTTTGGCGGGAAAAATTGCGGGATCACTTTTCCCGCCAAAAAATATTTTGTATTTTGTGGACCTAATTTTGTTATATTTCCTTATATATTTGTGATATCTTTTATTAAAAGAAGGGTAATTTAGTCATTTTGTACATAAAAAGGGGTATTTTTAAAAATGGACAGCCAAATGGGGCATTTTTGAAAAGGGGTATTGAAAAAGGGGCATTTTTGTGAGTCTCCCTTAAAAATATATATTAATGAAACAGTTAATAAAAAATATACTGTTTTAAAACAAAATCTGCAGATTTTTATACCAAATCCGTATTCGGCAGATTTAAATTAACTGAAATAAAGGGTTACTAGATCATGACCCGTGCTATACAGCACGGGATTTAATATTTTTCATTAATTAAATTGTATATTTTGTTCGAAGAAATAAGAAATAATATAATATAAAAGGGAATATATCATAATATTTTATATTTATTACTATTTGAATATAATGTTATATATTTTATTTGACTAAAGAAGAAGAGAATATTGTATTTTAGAATTTAATATATTTAGCAGCATTATATTTATATTTTTTATATGAGATTAACAATTTATTTGGTTCAATTAGGTATTGATAATTTTATTGTGTGATTGTGAATAAACAAAAAAATAGTTGTATAGGGTCTAAGTTTTTTAATGGATTATATTGAGTTTGTGGGGCCCAGTTTCATGGTTTAAAAAAAAAAAAAAAAACGATTTAACATACCTTTGGAATTTGCTGATGTGTTCCTTTTTGATGTCTACTTGAATTTTGTTACCTTGTAATTAAAATAAGATGACTTAAAACTTACTGCACATATATTACAAAGAGAATTGTATAAAATTTCAATGGTACTTACAGCCTCATCTGTCAAAATCATTTCCAAAGACATGCCAGAACCTTTTGTAAAATGAATCCACGAATGAAGTATACTAACTTTAATACACCAAAAAGTCTTGACAGGCTTCAAGTTGTTAATAGGAGTGTAGCGACTAACCATAGCCATTTCTGCTGTATTTTTAATTGTAGGATATGAGAATGGTGCTGAGATGATTTCTGTGAGAAAGCTACGTCAAACCTAAATGGATATTTATAGTTGTAGATTGTTTGTGATAATTAGGAGATTCAGAAATATATTAATTAGCATAAAATAGTTAGATAATATTTTAGAAAGGTATATTCTAGATTATTTGGAATATAGGATCAAAATTATATAACAAAGAGATTTGACAATCTTTAGAAAAGATTTTAAGGAAACTGAATAGCTGATTATATTGATGCGTGATTAACATAAACAAAAAACGTAAAACCAAACAAAAAAACGATCTAGAATATAACAACTATTATAACTTATTTTTTTTTTATAAAGGGTTTTAAGGAAATTGAATATATTCTCAAAGATTTTAGGGAAACTGAATATATTCTCAAAGATTACGAATTGCTTGAATACGAATTTATATCTAAACAAAATATAACAACCTAATGTCTTTAAGATCTTTAAACCCGTTTTTCGTTATTTGACCCGTTTTTTAATTAATTTGTTATTGTTAGTGACATGAAATTAAAATGATTATGATTATAGATCTCTAATGGCATATATTATAATTTCTTACAAAATTAACGTTACGACTTATAGGATGTACCTTCCAAATAATAGTATAGGATATAACATTTTGAATAACATTTTCAATAACATTTTCGAACTATATGAGTATTATAATTCAAAATAGCATTTTTTATAAATTGGATTGATATAAAATTTTTTCAATGATGTATCATTTTCATTAACATTTTCAATAACATTTTTTATAACATGTTCGAATAATGGATTACTATATAACATTTTGAATAATATTTTCAATAACATTTCCGAATAATATATTAGTATATTAGTATAGAATTTTTAATAATTGTGTTACATTTTCGAATTGATTAGTATATAACATTCTCGAATTATATTAATTATGTATTATATAAACAAAATCTTTTAATATCTTTAAACCCGTTTGACCCGTTAATATATATTAGTGAAATGGAATAAAATGATTATAATTAGAAATCTCTAATGGCATATATTGTAATTTCTTACAAAATCTAAGTTATGACTCTTAGGATGTACTTCCCAAATATTAGTATAGATATTAGAAATATTATTATTTTGTTATTAAGATACTTTTAGAGAGCTTTATTGCTTTTAGAGACTTTAAATTTTGATAAAATATTGTTATATTTTGAATTTATCTTTTAAGAGACTTCAAAAATAAAAGGTTGAAACGAGATCTCCTAATCAAACGGAGCTGGGCCCTGCTAGTACAAGTAGCCTATATAAAGAGAAGAGAGAACATGTTATAGCAAAACCCTAAATATTCAAGGAGTTTGTTTCGTCTCCTTCCTATAAATTATCCTCAAAATCGTTTTAGGGTTTCTTCAGCCGCCGGTCATGGATTATTCAGATGATGACAACATCGATATGGGATCAGGGGAGGAGGAGGATCTTTACAGCGATGGTGGTAACGAATATGCCGATCACTACCCTCTTGAAGAAGCAATTATTCCATCTGAGAAAAGTTACGTAGTTCTCAAGGAAGAAGACATTCACAAGCATCAAAGAGACGATATCGAACGAGTTTCCACGGCTCTCTCTCTAAGCCAAGTCGAAGCAACCGTTCTTCTTCTTCACTTTCATTGGAGTGTTAGTAAGATCGAAGATGAATGGTTTACGGACGAAGATAGAATCCGTAAAACAGTTGGAATACTGAAGGAGCCTGTCGTTGACGTTAATAGTAGAGAAGTGAATATCCAATGTGGAATTTGCTTTGAATCCTACACTCGAGATGAAATTGCTACGGTTTCTTGTGGTCATCCTTATTGCAAGACTTGCTGGACTGGTTACATCACTACAAAAATCGAAGACGGTCCAGGATGTTTAAGGGTTAAATGTCCTGAGCCTTCTTGTTCCGCTGCGGTTGGTCAAGATATGATCGATAAGGTTAGTAATAAAGAAGATAAGGAGAAGTACTATAGATATTTTCTTAGGTCTTATGTGGAAGAAGTCGGGGAGAGAACTAAATGGTGTCCATCACCGGGATGCGAATGTGCGATAGATTTTAGTGTTGGGAGTGGAAGTGGAAGTAGTGGTTATGATATTTATTGTTTGTGTTCGCATAGCTTTTGCTGGAATTGTACTGAAGATGCTCACAGTCCTGTGGCTTGTGACACGGTCTCAAAATGGATATTCAAGAACCAGGATGAGTCCGAGAACAAGAATTGGATGCTTGCGAATTCAAAGCCTTGTCCTAAATGCAAACGTCCTATCGAGAAGAACGATGGATGTAACCATATGACATGCTCAGATCCATGTAGACATCAGTTTTGTTGGATTTGTCTTGAACCACATTATGGTCACGGTGCTTGCAATAGGTTCGTTGAGGAGAAGGCTAAAAGTAAGAGAACATTGCTTCAGAATGAAATCAAAAGATACACGCATTATTATATAAGATGGGCAAACAATCAATCGTCGAGGCTAAAGGCTATGAGTGATCTGGAGAAGTTGCAATCGGTGCAGCTTAAGCAGCTTAGTGATAAACAAAGCAAACCAGAAACTGATCTCCAATTCACCTTAGATGCATGGATTCAGGTTAGTAAAAGTATTTAAATAACTCTCTGATTCGTAACAATGCGAAACGGTACAAAAAATGTATGTTGAGTGTAACACTGGAACAGAATCTAGGAATGACTACATAGTAGAAATTAGAAAAAACGATTTCATGAGTAAACTCCTTACCATGATCCGAATTACCAATGAAACTCTAAGTTTGACTTTCGATAAATTACAACATTGTTGTTGAACATTTACTGACATGTGATTGAGTTTACTATTGCAGATCATCGAATGTAGGAGAGTCTTGAAATGGACATATGCATATGGATACTACCTTCATGATCTCGCCAAGCGACAATTTTTCGAGTATTTGCAAGGTTAGTTTTTGGTAAGGAAACACTTAAATATGTACGTGTAATCTTAATTTGTCCATTGTAGTTAAGTAAATTTTTGTTGTGTTGTTGTTTGTTGTTGTTAGGGGAGGCTGAAACAAGTTTAGAGAGGCTTCATCATTGTGCAGAGAATGAGTTGAAACAGTTTATCAATAAAACTGAAGATCCATCCAAAACTTTCTCTGCTTTCCGGATGAAATTAACTAATTTGACTAATGTAACTAAAACCTACTTCGAAAATCTGGTGAAAGCTTTGGAAAATGGTCTTGCTGATGTGGCATATAATTATGAGACCAAATCAAGAGAAGAAGAATCTGATGATTTTCTCGAAACACAAAAGCTATATGATACTTATATAAGTGAAGGCTACTTCTTCTGAGATCTCTCAGCCTCAGTTTATTCCCTTTTTTATTAGCAATTTGGATTTTTTTTTTATTGGTTTTACTATAAACCTAACTATGATTTTTTCTTTATTATAAACGGAATTTCACATTGCTTCTTTGACTTTTGAATTTTGATTACTTGTTCTTTCCTAGTAGAACAATTTTGGTGAAAACAATTAACATCAATACGTCTTGTCCGATATTTTTAGGATAGACATGTTATACTTCACAAAATAACAGAGGACATCTACGTCGTCAGGAAGCTCGGAGGCAAACTCATGAAAGAAATTTGCAATTTAATAAGGGTAGCACAAAAGAAGGAAACTAAAAACACTGAACTTGGTTCCGTAAAAGAAAGAAGTGAAGTGGCATCAAATGCTCATATCTTGAGATCGAGGAGACGAGGAATACCACAATAAATATAAAAATTAAAACTTTAATCAATTTTTCAAATAATACAGTATAGGGGTATATATATTGCATGCATTTTTACTTTTTTTTTTTTTTCCTGATTCCGTAAATTTGGTTTAAGAAGCTATTAATGTTTTTTTTTTTTAATGTGTATAATAATGTTTCTAAACCCGAGTCAAATATAGATCCATAGTCGAATTGGTAAACACGATGATCCAATAACTAATCCAAATAATGTTCCAATGCGATAGTCGAGTTTACTTGTCCGACCGCCGATCTCAATCATGAGTCGGATTTGAAAACATTACATTAACAAAAAGATTCATAGTTCTTAAAACCAAATCTGGAGAAATTTAATCAAATCTATGAATAACTAAATAATTTGAATATTATTGTTAATAACAACGATGATTTTTTTTGCTTTTTGATCTTGTTGCATTTTATTTTTTAAAAAGGTATTGATAGAACAGTGAATTTTTTTTTAAAATATGTTACTAATTTACTTTTAAAATTAGATGATATCCGATTATCCATTTTACAACATACATATATATTTAAAACATTGTTAAGTTTTATTAAAGAAGTTGCGATGGTGTCAATTTTTTTTCTGAAGTTGTGGTTGTAATATGTTTTAGTTAGGCTATTATTTGTCGTATAGTACATTTTTAAGTATTGTTAAGTTTTATTTTTAAAATATATAATATTTGTACGAATTTTATTCAAGCTATTTTCGTATAATACTTGACGTTATACACTTATTTTTACAACACGGAGCTGTACAAAAATGTATCGTAGATTATTTTCTAATTAGATAGAAGATTGATTCTTTGTAATATTTATTTAAAAATTATATTTATTTAAAATATTTTTGAAAAAGTTTGAAATATATAAATTTGCAAAGATTTACTTCTATATATAGAAAAATATAAATATTTCAAATGTAGAAAGATAGTAAAGAGATGTATAAGACTTATTTGGTTATATAGAAAGTTTTTAAAACTTGTTTAACTATTAGCATATAACTTCAAATAATTAAACTTTTTAGCCTAAATGTAAAATTTTCTTTTATTTTTAAAATTAATGGCATTTGATGTAATATAGATTTTTTTTTTAATGTTAGATCTATAAATATACTTTTCGGATATATAAATTTTGCAAAAATCTTCAGAGTTCAGATATTAGAAGGATATATTTTTTTCCCTCAACAAATTTTAGAACCAATATTATCTGTTCTTTTACGTATTTTATTAAAGGTCCATAAAAGATTTTAGCCCCAAATGCCAAGTAGTATCCTAACAATAATAACTTAGAATCAAATGAATCTATAAATCAAAAGAAGACGATTGATAAGAACAGAGAAGAGAGAGCTTCTAGAAGTTAGAGCGAAGCCCTAATTTACCAAGGAGACTTAGCTTCGTCTGCCTCCTTTAAATCTCAAAGTCTTCTAAGGTTTTATTTTTCCAGACGGTCATGGATTATTCAGATGATGACATAATCGATATCTCATCAGGAGAGGAGGAGGAGGAGGATCTTTACATCGATGGTGGTATAGAATCCGATGACTACCATTTTGAAGACACAATTAGTCGATCTGAGAAAAGTTACGTAGTTCTCAAGGAAGAAGATATTCTCAAGCATCAAAGAGACGATATCGAACGAGTTTCCACGGCTCTCTCTCTAAGCCACGTCGAAGCGACCATTCTTCTTCTTCACTTTCATTGGAGTGTTAGTAAGATCGAAGATGAATGGTTTACGGACGAAGAGAAAATCCGTAAAACCGTTGGAATCCTCAAGGAGCCTGTCGTTGACGTTGATTGTAGAGAAGTGAATATCCAATGTGGAATTTGCTTTGAATCATACACTCGAGAAGAAATTGCAAGGCTTTCTTGTGGTCATCCTTATTGCAATACTTGTTGGACTGGTTACATCACTACAAAAATCGAAGACGGTCCAGGATGTTTAAGGGTTAAATGTCCTGAGCCTTCTTGTTCCGCTGCGGTTGGTCAAGATATGATCGATGAGGTTACTAAGGAAAAGGATAAGGAGAAATATCATAGATATCTTCTTAGGTCTTATGTCGAAGAAGGGAAGAAGATTAAATGGTGTCCATCACCGGGATGCGAATATGCTATTGAATTTGGTGGAAGTGGAAGTAGTAGTTACGATGTTTCTTGTTTGTGTTCGTATAGATTTTGCTGGAATTGCTGTGAAGACGCTCATACTCCTGTGGATTGTGAAACGGTGTCAAAGTGGATACTAAAGAACAAGGATGAGTCCGAGAACACGAATTGGATACTTGCAAAGACAAAGCCTTGTCCTAAATGCAAGCGTCCTATTGAGAAGAACAATGGATGTAACCATATGTCATGCTCAGCTCCGTGTAGACATTATTTTTGTTGGGCTTGCCTTCAACCATTGAGCGGTCACCAGGCTTGCAATGCGTATAAAGAAGACAATGAGGTTGAAACTAAGAGAAAAAGGGCTAAAGATGCGATTGATAGATACACGCATTATTATGAAAGATGGGCATTCAATCAATCGTCGAGGCTAAAGGCTCTAAGTGATCTAGAGAAATGGCAATCGGTGCAGCTTAAGGAGCTTAGTGACAATCAGAGCTCACCAGAAACTCAGCTTCGTTTCACAGTAGATGCATGGCTTCAGGTTAGTAAAAATAATTATTGTAACATTGGAAACCGTTTAATAAAAATTATGTGGAAACAACGGAACATAATGGAGTTACTACATAAGCTTTCTTGAAAAACCATCTTGAAGACGATTTTATGGTTAACTTATAATGTTGTTGAACTGATGAATTTTGGATCACTAGAATGTGTGTAATTTTCAAAATGGCGAAAATTATTCCACCATTATAATGTGAATCACCAATGGGACTCTATGTTAGATTTTGTTCATTACAAAAAATAAGTAGGTGGATTGTAACCACCAAACAGAATCTAGGAATCAGTACATAGTAGAAAAAAACGAGAAAAGCTTTATTAAATTGGAAAATCATCTTAATGACGGTTAAATTTTTGGAATGGTGAAATCATCCACCATTATGAGAATTACCAATGAGACTATAAGTTAATTACACATTGTTTTTTTTTTGTTTGATAAAATTAATTACACATTGTTATTGACATGTAATTGATTTTACTGTTATAGATCATTGAATGTAGGAGGGTCTTGAAATGGACCTATGCATATGGATACTACCTACTTGATCAGGAGCGTGACAAGCGAGAATTTTTTGAGTATTTGCAAGGTCAGTTTTTTTGTACAGAGTCACTTAGTTTGTGTGTAATCTTATATTTTCCATTAATTGTAGCTAAACTTTCGTTGTGTATTGTTGTTCAGGGGAGGCAGAAACTGGTTTGGAGAGACTTCATCATTGTGCAGAGGAGGAGTTGAAACAGTTTATCGGTAAAACTGTAGACCCATCAAAAAATTTCGGTGAGCTCCGGGTAAAATTAATTGATTTGACTGTAGTAACGAAAAAGTACTTCGAAAATCTGGTGAAAGCTTTGGATAATGGTCTTGCTGATGTTGCATATAATGAGAAAAGCCAATCAACACAAGAGCCTGAATCTGAATCTTTTACCAAAAGACAAAGGTCGGTGGCAAACGGTAGAAGAAGCTTCAAAAGAGGTGATTGAGATAAGGAAAAGAAAATCTTTTAGAGTTTAGCAGCTTGGAAATACTTTCTCTGATTTATGTGTTGGCTGCGTATGACTTCAGGTTTTTATTTTGTTGCTTTAATTTTTTAAAAATTATACCTTTAATTTTTATTTGTTTTCTATTAAGGAATTGCAACTTTGGTACTTGACTTTTATATTTTGATTGCTTGATGTCTCATACTGCAATTTTGTTGAACCATAATTTGTATGTCTTGTCCGAAAAATTCTCTAGATCAAGAAGAGCTAATGTAATCTCCTTCAAGTGGAAGAAACTAAATTACATTTGTCAATACCATTCAAACAATAGATCAAGAACCTACTTGAATTGTGAGAACTTAAACATTTGCTCCTCTATCGGACGAAAAAGTATTAAAAAAACGAAAAAAGTATGATCCACCAAAAAGAGAAAATAGTGAAATTAAAATTTCTTTCGGACCCACCCACCTAATCTCCTCCCTTCATGGCGGCATCTACCCACCACGTTTATTATATGGTAAGTAAAAATCTTCTTTTACCATCACAATGTTTTAATCGGCCGGCATAGATTGCTCTATAAATATTACACCAAATTGATTTCAACTAAATAAATTTAATAGAAATCAATCCTGAAAAAAACTTAAACTTTCACATTGCATACAAACTTATTTACAAAAAAAGCATCGAGAATTTACAATGAAACAATCCTTCAAATTTAAGACTCGATTGAGTTAAAACCAAAGAAGAAGAAGAATTTGGTAAGTATCCTAAAAAATAAAATAACTTTGATCCAATATCGTTAAAAACGCGACATATATATATACCCACTTAGCCCATGTGGTGGTGGGCGGGTAGTTGGTGGGCCAGGGGTGTTTGGGTGAAAGTCCTTCCCCTCCGGTTTCGATTCCTCCTCCTGCTGTTATCAACATTATATGGGAAGTCTGTCAGTTGGGCTTTGGGCCAATTGGTTTACCTGGTAGTCAGAAATGCAGGCGGCCTGACTACCCCTGGCACTTAGTCGGAAGGCACACCAAACTCGTTAACACGGTGGACAAGTCCACTATGTAGCACCTCGGTGCGTTCCTACCGGAGCCGACCGGATAGCCGATAGGGTATATCAAAAAAAAAATATATATATATACCCACTTAACTTACATCGGAGACACATAAATTAGAACATATCAACCACTTATTGTTTCTTTGGTTCGAATAAATTTACCCTGAAAAATGAGTGAATCAAAGGGTCACGTACTGTTTTTTCCATATCCATTGCAAGGCCACATTAACCCAATGATCCAACTCGCTAAACGCTTATCCAAAAAGGGCCTCGCTATCACAATCATCATCGCCTCAAAAGACCACCGTGAACCTTACACCTCTGAAGACTATTCCATCACCGTCCACACCATCCACGACGGTTTCTTTCCACATGAACACCCTCACGCCAAGTTCGTTGATCTTGACCGTTTCAACAACTCTACTTCTCGTAGCCTCACCGATTTCATCTCTAGGTATACATGAATTTCCAATATGACATATCTCCCTAGTTATTTAAGAGGTAAATTTACTTTGAAATTTGATGAGAGAATTTTTTAGTAAAACTCTCTACCCTGAACTTCTTTGTCCATTAAAGTTGAAATTTTGAAGCTTCTTACTTATTCCATATGTTCTGAGTGACCTAGAAGTTATATATTAATCAAATGAATCAACTCTCCTTTTTGAGTGATTATCAACCTTTTATAATGTTTATACAAAGTAATTCAGCTAGATTTTACTATTTACAATAGACATAAGCCTTTTTTATGAATTTAAAATATAGTTTCAATATTATGCAATGGCCATGTAAAAAAAAAAAGCTTAGTTTTAAAACTATTAAAACCAGTTTCTTAGCGTTTTTAGGATTATTATAATTTATATGCAAAAACGTTATTAATCTCTACTGTTACATAATCCCTTGTATATGCAGTGCGAAGTTGTCGGACAATCCTCCAAAAGCTCTGATCTATGATCCATTTATGCCCTTTGCATTGGACATAGCCAAGGACTTGAATCTATACGTAGTGGCGTATTTCACTCAACCATGGTTGGCTAGCCTTGTTTACTACCATATCAACGAAGGCGCCTACGATGTTCCCGTTGATAGACACGAGAACCCAACGCTTGCATCTTTTCCAGGTTTCCCATTGTTAAGCCAAGATGATCTGCCTTCGTTCGCCTGCGAAAAAGGGTCGTACCCTCTTCTACACGACTTTGTGGTTAGGCAATTCTCTAATTTGTTGCAAGCTGATTGCATTCTCTGCAACACTTTTGATCAACTTGAACCAAAGGTAACATTATAATTTATATTTTTTTTGGTCATGTATATGAGTTTTGAGAAGATGGAAAGTTTTGTGGAACGTCTTTTTTCTTTCACAGGTAGTGAAATGGATGAATGATCAGTGGCCGGTGAAGAACATTGGACCGGTAGTTCCGTCGAAGTTCTTGGATAACCGGTTGCCAAAAGACAAAGATTACGAACTTGAGAACTCCAAGACAGAGCCAGATGAGTCTGTTTTGAAGTGGTTGGGGAATAGGCCTGCGAAGTCAGTAGTTTACGTGGCGTTCGGGACATTGGTGTCTTTGAGCGAAAAACAGATGAAGGAAACCGCAATGGCGATTAGACAAACCGGATATCACTTCTTGTGGTCCGTTAGAGAATCCGAGAGAAGCAAACTACCGCCTGGTTTTATCGAAGAGGCAGAGGAGAAGAACCATGGACTTGTGGCTAAGTGGGTTCCTCAGCTAGAGGTTTTGGCACATAAATCAATCGGGTGTTTCGTGTCACACTGTGGATGGAACTCGACATTGGAGGCACTGTGCTTAGGGGTTCCAATGGTGGGAATGCCTCAGTGGACGGATCAGCCCACAAATGCTAAGTTCATAGAGGATGTGTGGAAGATTGGGGTTAGAGTGAGGACCGATGGAGAAGGGCTTGCGAGTAAGGAAGAGATTGCCAGATGCGTTGTTGAGGTCATGGAAGGAGAAAGAGGGAAAGAGATGAGGAAGAATGTTGAGAAGCTTAAGGTGTTGGCTCGTGAAGCTATCTCTGAAGGAGGTAGTTCCGACAAGAACATTGATGAGTTTGTTGCTCTTTTGACTTAACAATTTGAATCTGAGATGTCATCAGCTTGTTAGTTGATTACCTAATAACGACTTCTTTGTCGGCTAAATTCTGAGTTATCCTGTTGGCTTCATTGGTTGTGTCCCCTGCAAAAAACAAATCCATAAATGAACTCTGCATTAAAAAACAGAGATCTTTGAATTTGAAGCATAACAAGAATAAAGAGCTTTCTTAATACTTATATGAATATGATACATTGTATCTCAAAATGCTCAGTTCTGTGCATTAGAGAAGTCTATATAGCTCGATGAAAGTACTTTTCACGGTATACATTGTACATTGTTACATGATAAGACAATGACAAATCGGAGAGGGCCGTTTCTTTTTGTATTCTTTGTATCTGAGTTTATTATAAACATGAGAAGAGAGCTCTTGTATTGCTGAGTTTCTCGTGTTCCTGAGTCAAACCTCTCCCGTTCTTTTCTACTATTTCCTGAGACATCATCCATTTGGTTGAGAAAAAAACTCATGATATATGTAAGAGCTTGGCTCTAGTCCGTTAGGGTAAGAAAAGTCACGATCTCAGACGAATTCGGCTTAACTAAGGTGAAAGTAGAAATGCAAAAAACATAAATGATAAAGAGTTTTTGAGAGTAAGCTTTGTACCAAGGGAACTTGAATGTATCTTTCCACCATCCCTGTTTTGAGCAGTGTACAAAGATCTTGTCCAATCGAACTATGATCTCAGAAAATGTCGGTCTAACAAAAGTTTCCGTATCCCAGCATTCCTCAATCAATCTGTTCAAATAACAATTGAACCAATAAGCTGAAAGAGGTTGGGTAAAGAATCAAGGACCAAGTAAATGATGTTACTGTAACTTAAGTGTTAAAACAAGTTCTGTTTTAAAGTTGATAAAGATTAGTACACTTACTCTCTCATCTCTTGGGGACAACTTTTGGACTTGGCCTTAAACGAAGGTCTTCTTCCTTCCAAACACATTAGCTTCACTGCCTCTTCTGGAGGCTTTGGATGGAAGGGTTGTACTCCTTCAATCATCTGAAGAATTTGAAGATGAACTTAATCAAAGATTTATGCCAAGAGAGTTGTTAGAGAAGCTTCTCGGCGTAAGATGCTAGAAAAAAAAAAATCAGCTATACTTTTAGAGAGCATAAAGAACAGTCGGTAGATTAAAGCCAGACTAGATACAGCCATCAAGAAATGCAGAGGAGCACTATTACACACGTTTGACCATTAACCTAACTAATAGGTACTTCATATACGACGCCACCAAAAAGTAAGAATCCATAAGGTACCAACCTCATATAATACAACACCAAAAGAGTAAGAATCCACACTCCTGTCAAAAATTTCATCTTTGTAAACCTCAGGTGCCATACAGTAATCTGCAAACAATAAACAAAACCATCTGTTTAAACTATTGCCTCATGGAAATGTATCATTCTTATGAGTATTTCAATAGTAAAAATAGTTTCTATACTTAATACTTGTATCAAAGTTTCTCAGGAATCTAGATGTTTTATGTACATCATATGCCCTCACTTCTTTTGGGTAGCCAGAAGGAATTAAGGACTTACTTGAAGGATCTATATGGGCCCCGTGATTAAGTATTTTTGATTTATCAGATGATAACTTTGCAAAACTTATCAAACCAAATCCTGCCACCTTCAGATGTCCTCCACTATCGAGCATAATATTTCTGGCACCTTACAAGAAGTTGCAAAAATTAGATAACGAGGGTCCAAAAATATGTTCTCGAAAAACTTAATGTGCAAATGCTTCTTTATTTAGTTATCTTACTTGGGTTTTAGATCACAGTGGATTACTGGTTCTGGTTTACACTCGTGAAGATAATTCATTCCCCTGAGAAGAGCAAAATGATTTGTTCAGAAGATTAAAAAAAACTGTAGTTGTAATTTGAATACAATCTTGCCAAAAAAAGGCACATGCCTGGCTATATCGAGGGCAAATCTTAGAACTTTCGCTGGAGAAAGACGACCTTTCTTTTGAAGATAGCTCCCAAGGTCACCCTGCAAGTTACCACCAAGTTGGCAAAATTAGTTCCTAGCATCCAAAAATTGCTTAATGAGGGAAAAATCTTTTTAGGTGTAAAAAGAGGGAAAAGCTTACTTTAGGATGATACTCGGACACAATCATCATGGGGACATTTTGTGTAACAGCTCCAACAAATTGCACAACATTAGGATGACGCACCTTCTCGAATAAAGTAAGTTCGTGTTTGAAGGCATTTCTGTGTGTAAACAACAAAATTCAAATGAGAAAAATTGCAGAACAAACGTTAAATGTGAAAAGCAAATAAGAACACCGGAAATGTACAATTCTAACATAAAAGATTATATAAGAACTATGATTGAATAGTCTTACAGCTCATATCATCATCACTATGAACATAACAAATGCCTGCAATGATCTATAGCTTAACTCAAGAAGAAATTCAAACTCCTTCTTGACCTATTGACCTGTTTGCTAACTTATACAGATACTCATTGAAGAGAAGAGTAAACCTACATGGTTTCATGATCCTTATAGAGATCCTTATCAAGTATCTTTACAGATACCTTAGTCCCATTCCATTTAGCCACTTGATATATTCCCTGGAAAATGGAAAAGCGATGTAGTACTTTGTTAGAGAGAATTTTATGGCAAAGTAAGATATTACTGCGGGAAAGTGAAGCAGAGAGAGCTCTAACCTTTGAGATACCATCAGCTTTCCGAACTTGAAGCTCTTGTGGATTTAACTCGTACTCAGGAACTTCACGAGGATTCGCCACAACCATAGGTGTCCTTTTGGTTTTCTAAAACCAAGAAGAAAATGTAACTATAAACACATTGAGATATGAAAAGAACAGAGCCTGAATCCATGAAAATGCAGAAACATACCGGAACTTTAGCTCCACGGGCTTTCAAAATGTTGAAAACATCCATGTTACCATAATACTTAGCATCAGCAGCTGCCTATCCACACAACAGAAACCAAATTTCAAAACCAAAAGGCACAAATCTAACCAAAAAGAAACAACGACCGAGTCATGAAACTAGAGGAATCACATTACCGTGCTTCCCCAACGGTCACGAGCATCAATATTAGCCTTCCTGGTAAGAAGAAGCTTCACAACATCAACATGACCTTCACAAGCAGCGATATGAAGAGCCGTACGACCATCAAGATCAATACTATTAACATCAATTCCTTCATCAAGCAGATCCTGAACACCTTCAACATCACCTCTACAAGCCACAAATAGAAGCTGCATAGTAGCGTCGAGATTATCCGGTACAGCAAGTTGCGGACGGTTAGAACCATCAGGACTCCGGCGAATCGGATCTAGAGACGATTGTCGACCAAAACTGAACCGCATATTGTTCCGGCGAGGATCGTGTGAAGCTTGACGCGTGAATTGACGACTAAGCGTACGACGAAGCGATCCAGTTGAGAATTGTCTCGAGATTCCTCGTTTTAGTTGTCCCGCGATATTCGCCATGATTTCAAATCTCTGTGACTTCTCTCTTTCGTCTTCTTCTTCTGATAAAAATGGAATGGATAATCACATTTTCTTTTTCTCGAGAAAATTGAAAATTCTTTGATCTGGGGATTATGTGAGAGATCCGTCTCTAGCGCGTTGCTTATCGAGAATAATTAATTTTTTAAATTTTAATTTGATATTATTGGCGACGTCTGTTTCCGATTGACTTTGATTTGACTTTCCCTTTCAATCATTATTTGGCGAGTCCCGCGTAATTTTGGACTCTTCTTGATTGTCCACTTTTTTCGGTGGCTTTACCGGATTTAAATAATTTCTTTTTCCAAAATTGTAAAACTTACCCTAAACTTCTCATTATTACAATTAGTTCCTACTAAAGTACTTTTTAGCAAATTTAGGAAACTAATTGACTTCAAAAGGTTTTTCTACGTGGAGCTGACGTGTCGGTCTTATCTACTCGAAGCCTTTTGGGATTTCTTGAAGCCATTAATTGCTAAGATCTTTCAAAACCGAACCGGACCGGCCGGTTCGACCAACATATATACGCTTCCATTTCACTTGCCGTTTCGTCGTCTTCAGTCTTCTTCAGTAGCAAAACCACCTTCGGCTTCGTCTCTTCAATGGCGGCCATTTCTGTAAGTTCTTCACCATCTCTTCGCTGCTTGAGATCGGCATGTTCCGATTCTTCTCCTGCTCTCGTATCCTCGACGCGTGTATCGTTCCCGGCAAAGATTTCATATCTCTCCGGTCAATCTTCGAACCGTGGCGAAGAAATGGGTAAGCGAATGGAGGGATTCATTAGAAGCGTCGATGGGAAGATCTCTGACGCATCTTTCTCTGAAGCTTCATCTGCGACTCCGAAATCGAAGTACTGTGAATAATATTTCTTTGATTTTCGTTTCCTTTGGCCTTTGCTTTGCTTGAATTGGTATCCAAAATCGTTCCTAGTGTAATTAAAGCATCTCCAATTTTGCTTTGTAAAAATCAGCATTTTCATGCAAATGATATAGTTTTCTTTGTGCTTTAAAATCAGGGTGAGGAAGCACACAATTTCAGTATTTGTTGGAGACGAAAGCGGAATGATTAATAGGATTGCAGGAGTGTTTGCAAGGAGAGGATACAATATTGAGAGTCTTGCTGTTGGTTTGAACAGAGACAAGGCTTTATTCACCATAGTTGTTTGTGGAACTGAAAGGGTACTTCAGCAGGTCATCGAGCAACTTCAGAAGCTCGTTAATGTTCTAAAGGTTGTCCTTTTTTAGATCGCACTTATTAGTTTCTGTATCACTATAGTTTCACCAGCAGTAACTCTATGCATCAGCCAATTTGCGTGTTCATTACTTGAAGATTTTAGTGGACTTCTTAGGACTATGGAAAATTTAGATTTGTGCTTTGCAGCTGAAATAATTTGTGTTGAAGATTAAATTTGCGAGTTCATTTTCCACTCTCTGGATTGACCTTGACATGCTAATTAGGTTGAAGATATCTCAAGTGAGCCGCAAGTGGAGCGTGAACTGATGCTTGTAAAAGTGAATGCGCATCCAGAATTCAGGGCAGAGGTACTCTTCCTTTGCCTATGGGAAATTTGAGTTTACTTTACTTGCTGGTTGCTTCTGATCTAGGGCAGAGGTGGTATTAGTTTTCTCTCTAATTTTGACTAGCTTCTGTCTAATGAATTCCCAGATCATGTGGCTAGTTGACACATTCAGAGCAAGAGTTGTGGATATCGCCGAACATGCATTGACTATTGAGGTAAATCTTATGATTTTTGTTGTTCTTGATATTTGTTTCGCACTATAGTCTATGGGTTTCAGACTTCTGTTTTGCCTTATGAATCTGATGATAATCCACATGCAGACTCTATATTGGGATGTAGATTCAGTTTAGATGTGTGTTAAGATTTATTTGAAACTTTTGGTTCTTACACTTATATAACGAGAAAGTTCTTCAGCAGGTTGCTGCTACCCTTGATTACCCTATTCTTATAATCTGCATTCTGAGTTGTATTGCCTGTGCTGATTTCTGTGGGAGTGCTCAGTGTTATTTATAAAGTTAGAAAAGCATGACCTTAAATATATTGTTCTTTTTACCTTGATTATGAGAAAGTGGTATAAAAAAAGAATTTGGTGTATCTAATTTACATATTTTAGTTCTTTAGTAATCGTTTTCAAGCTATCTTGCAGGTAACTGGAGATCCTGGAAAAATGATTGCTGTAGAAAGAAATTTGAGAAAGTTTCAGATCAGAGAGATTGTAAGGACAGGAAAGGTAGTGTATGTTTGGAATATTAGATTTTATGGCTTTTGAATATCATTTAGTTTGTGCTATCTAATGTATGTATGTAGTAGTTACATCTTTGAGTGGACACAAAGGCATCTCAGGGACTTTCACTAATTTAGGGAAAATGGAATGACATTTTTGGATAACAGATAGCACTGAGAAGGGAAAAGATGGGTGCAACTGCTCCATTTTGGCGATTTTCAGCAGCATCCTATCCAGATCTCAAGGAGCAAGCACCTGTTAGTGTTCTTCGAGGTAGCAAAAAAGGAGCCGTGGTCCCTCAAAATGAAACAACAGCAGGGGTGTGTGCTTCTCTCCTCCTTAGATTGTTTAACTTTAGCTTGAAGTTCCTCGCTTTCCTTTCAAAGATTTTGGCTGCATAAATTAGTAGGTTAGGCTATTTGATGAAGTTAAACAGGACTACCAGTGCCAGTGTTTTCTCCCCTTTATGTGGTGGCTGCCTGGAATCAACTTTTGAAGCATGAAACTCTAATGCCCTTTTTTGTTTTTCTAACACTTAAGGTTTTCCACGTTTGGTAAATTTTTTAAGTTATTTTTTCTTTTTAAATGTAGGGAGATGTTTATCCCGTTGAGCCAAATTTTGACCCTATGGTGCATCGTGTTCTCGACGCTCACTGGGGACTTCTCACAGATGAAGATGTAAGAGAGTTCTTTGCTATATATCTAACTTCTTGCCTTGAATTTGCTAAATAGCAATATGAAAAATTCAGGTATCAGATTGTGGTTTGCATTACAAGAGTTTTCACTTATTTTTCCATTCAGGCTGTCTGGGACTCTGAGTTTCAATAATCAATTCTGTTAATATAGTTACATAAATGATAAATCAATTTAGTGTGTATGATAGCTGTGGAGACTGTATCTATTTACTTACATAGCAGACATTGAAAGAATTAAGGTTTCCTTTAAGCTATTTCGTTTTTATTTATGACAGTTATTCTTTTCTGATCTTTCAGACGAGTGGGCTACGGTCGCATACTCTATCGTTGCTTGTAAATGATACTCCAGGAGTTCTTAATATTGTGACTGGTGTTTTCGCTCGAAGGGGATACAATATTCAGGCATAGTCCTTATCTCTCTCATACGCGCGCACACAGTATGCTTGGGGTTTACTGATACACTGAAAGATCTTCTTTTTCTTTAGAGCTTGGCTGTAGGACATGCTGAAACCAAGGGCATTTCACGCATTACAACAGTTGTACCTGCAACAGATGAATCGATCAGCAAATTGGTGCAGCAACTTTATAAACTCGTAGATGTGCATGAGGTGGGATTACTAAAAGCTGCTGTCTTTCTATATATTTAACAGTTTGAATGATTTTGATGGCCCTATCTTTCCTTCGCTTATCTTATACCTTTTACCCTTTGTTTAAAACGTAGATTAGAGGAAGAGTTTTCTGCTAACTTTTTCTTGACTTTCCTATATTTATTTACTGGTCTTGTGTGTTTACTCAATTGAGACCTCTAGTGCCAAGAGTCAAACTGTACAGGCTTCATGAAAACATTTCTGAACATGATGTACCCCAACTTTCCAAACAGTTTTTAACTTTGTGAGGCTTTCTGCAGGTCCATGATCTTACTCATTTGCCATTTGCTGAAAGAGAACTGATGCTGATTAAGATTGCCGTGAACGCTGCTGCGAGAAGGGATGTCCTGGACATTGCTAGTATTTTCAGGGCTAAAGCTGTTGACGTATCAGATCACACAATTACTTTGCAGGTAAAATAAATTTTACATAAATTGGATTTTTATTTAGGTGTTATTGCATCTCAGAAGAGAAATCTTCTAAGTTTCACGTATTTCCGTAGGTCTCAACTTGTTTGACATAATCAGAGTTCCGTTTGACAATATATATGAAGCAGACTTGGATTTTCCATCTTAATCTCTTTTTGCTTTAGTGTTTTGGATTTTGTGCTGAAATTTGTTGGCTGTGGATATAGCTTACTGGGGATCTAGACAAGATGGTTGCACTGCAAAGGTTGTTGGAGCCCTATGGTATATGCGAGGTTTGTTTCGCAATCTACTTTCATCTCCTAGTGCATGCATTAACCTGTGAATTCTTATCATGCTACTCCAATTGTTCGGATAATGTTCAAAGATCTAGTTGGTAGTGAAATCTAAGTCTCTGGTAAAATAAATAACCAAAGCTGGACCTAGTTTCATGATATGTAATTCTACGTCTTCTTCTGGTTGTGCTTATAACAAGAATAAGCTTGCCAAGCATTGCTACTTTTAAATTATGCATCGTGTTGATGTTTACAATGAAATTATCAATGACAGGTTGCAAGAACTGGACGTGTGGCATTGGCTCGTGAATCGGGAGTGGACTCCAAGTATCTTCGCGGATACTCCTTTCCTTTATCAGGTTAAACCGGTGCTGAGTGCATCCATAGAAACTTTTGAAGGTAAAAGTTTCATTACACATTTTATGAGCCAACACAAAGACAGAGCCAGAGAGACTGCGTAGATATGTTTGTGCCTTTGTTTATTAAAATTAGCTGATTTTGGATTTGTTGGCTTCATTTCAATTCCTTTCTTTTTAAGAAAATAAAAAGTTGTTAGGATTATTAATCTTCGTTCGTATTATTGAGATCGCTAGAAGACTAAAGAGGAAACACAAATGGACTTCGTAAATGTTATAGAGTCACAAGTCAAACTAAGTAAGCGTTGACTGAGCCGGACGTGTACCTAAAAAATGTTTGTCCCTACTTATCTTCTAGAGAGATTCGATTCGATTCACTTACATGAATAACTCACATGCACATCACACGTCTATAAGGATTTATTAACAGAGAGTAGGCATACCACTTATCGGATTTAGCAATTAAGCCAAAAGTAAATGTGGTACCTACTAATTTGTCTCATAATTATGCTTCCCAAGTCTGGTCAGTGATCACAACCCATATTTGCGGTTTCTCTTATAACTATTCAAAATAGATTCTTCCACTTTCGTCCCAGTAAATACAATACATTATCAAAAATCTAGTAACAATCCCTTTTTTCTATTTTTGTTGGGAAACTGTCACCATTGCACCTGGACGGGGACAACAATATCCTCAAATTCCCTTGTTTCGAAATCCTGGCTAAAGTAATTCAATATTTGTTAGTCCAAAAGATGTCCATACGACTCATATCCCTCTTAACCTTTTCAATAAATCTCACTTCTCTAAATATTTACTTTCAAGTTTCAAAAATCTAACCATTTTTCGGTATTTTAAGTCGGGGAAGCTTTGGATCATTGGATGACATGTGATATCAAACCTTAGATTTGAAAAAAGTACACTTTTGGAAAGGAAAAGTTGTTTTTTCGATATGCATATGTAAAAGAAAAATTTGATAAGTGCAATTATAAAGCACAAATTATTAATGAGCCGACCATGTGCTTTTTTGTTTATGGTTTACTCTTTTATTTTTGTTTGTCTGTAGTGACTACAAAATTATCGGGCACTATGAAATTATGAATGGATCGATCATTTATTTATGATTTATCGGCGGAAGAAATAAATTATTTTATATTCTTCTGGTCTTCTATGCATGATGGATAATTCATTGAATTGTAACAATTTTATACTACTTCGTTAGTTAACTAACAACAAACTGATAACCAAAAAAAAAAAGCCCTAACTAAATGATACTGACTTTTAACAAAAAAAAAATGATACTGACTTGGACTTTTTACTAGAGGAAGTAAGTAAATATGACAAGTTGTATCGTCTTTTAAGTTTGCCTTGTTTAGACTTTTTAACTCGGATTAGGTGACATGACACCATCCATTGAAGAGTCAATGAAAAGAGTCACTAGAGACCTCCATCAATTTCTTTATCTTTTACTTTGTTACAGTCCCTAACTAAAATATCTAACTCCATACCAAAAAAAAACAACAAAACTTTATTACTTAATTAAAAAAAAAAGAAGGCACTAACCAAAAAAAAGAGTTTGTGGCTGCTGAAATTCTTCAAACTGATGATGATGCTGATGTTCTTCTTCTGACATTCTCTCTCTCTTCTCTCTCTTTTAAGCAGCTTCATCTTCATCTACGGCTCTCTTCACACACGTGGTGAGAGCACAAAAAGGCTCAAGCTTTTTCAAACCCTTGTTGAAATTCAAGCTCTTCTGGTGTTTCTCAGATTGTGCCAAATGTTTTTCTTCCTCTTCTAGAGGTACTACTGAATCAGCTTCAATCTGACTTTTTTCTATTCCGATTTTATTCAATTCCAAGTTTCTTCACAGCTTGGGGACGATTTGACATATAATCTGGTGTCTACTCTCTAATTCGTTTCCCGTAAAGTTTGTATTTTTCTTGGTGGACATGGATTCTTCGAGGTGATATCAACAAAAAACTTGTCTTTGTTTTTACTTCTCAAGATTTGTGTGTGATTAGAGATTAGGGTTTTTGTTAGATTTGGGGATAATATAGATAATCTGGGTTTAGGTATTTTTGTTGATAACGACGATAAATTGGAGTGTATTTATATGACTATAATGGAGGAGAAGCAGAGCAGTCCTGTGGGAGATAAGGAACAGAGCTTTAATGGTATAATGATAAACCAAACACAAGAGAATCAGACAAAATCAATGGAGAAACAACCGAGTTTCCGATGTGTGGTGGAGAATCAACCGAGAAAGGCGAGAGCTTTAGAGAAACAAGTGAGTTTCCAAGGTGTCAATGTAGAGAATTATCAGCAAAGCAGACTCGGAAGATCAATGGAGAAGCAACAGAGTTTTCGAGGTGTGAACGTTGAGAATCATAAACGCGGAGTTATGGAGAAGCTACCGAGTTTTGGTAAAGCAACAATGGAGAGGCAGAAGAGTTTCCGTGGTGGGTTTTTGGAGAAGCAGAAGAGTTTCCGTGTGGTGATGGAGAGGCAATTGAGTTTTATAGGTGAGAGGAGGAAGAAGAATGAATCACCAGGGAAAAGAGGAGACTCTTCTCTTCATATCGCTGCTCGAACCGGGAACTTAGGTAAGGTTAAAGAACTGATTCGAGGTTGTGGTGATGGCGGTGGAGATGAGTTGAAAGAGTTGTTGTCAAAGCAGAATCTTGAAGGAGAGACTCCTCTTTATACTGCAGCAGAGAATGGGCATTCAATTGTTGTTGAGGAGATGTTGAAGCATATGGACCTTGAAACTGCTTCCATCGCTGCTAGAAACGTGTTTGATCCATTCCATGTCGCAGCCAAACAAGGCCATCTCGGTATGAAGATTTATGCTATCTTCAAATTTTCTCCATTCTCAATGGATTGTTCTCTTACTTGGCTCGTCTTCTTTTGCAGAGGTGTTGAAGATACTGTTGGAGGCATTCCCTAATTTGGCAATGACAACGGATTTATCGTGTACAACTGCGTTACATACGGCTGCAACACAAGGACATATTGATGTGGTGAATCTTCTTTTGGAGACAGACTCTAATTTGGCTAAGATTGCTAAGAACAATGGTAAAACTGCGCTTCACTCTGCAGCAAGGATGGGTCATGTGGAAGTTGTTAAATCTCTGATAGGTAATGACCCAAGCATTGGATTTAGAACCGATAAAAAAGGGCAAACTGCTCTTCACATGGCTGTAAAAGGTCAAAATGATGGGATTGTTGTTGAGTTGGTGAAACCTGATGTTGCGGTTTTGAGCGTTGAGGATAACAAAGGAAATACGCCATTGCACATTGCCACAAACAAGGGGCGTATCAAGGTAATGGCTCTTTACATTTCTCAAATATCAAAACTCGGTATTAGACAAGTGTAATAAAAGGCATTATTCATCATGGAATGATCCTTTTCTTAAGTTTCCAGTTGATGTTAGTTCTTATGTAAACTGTTAATTGACTTCTCTGCAGATAGTACGGTGTTTGGTATCTTTTGAAGGCATTAACCTCAACCCTATAAACAAAGTTGGAGATACGCCACTCGATATCGCTGAGAAGATAGGAAACGCAGAGCTTGTGTCAGTTCTGAAGGAAGCAGGAGCTGCTACTGCTAAGGATCTCGGAAAGCCTCAGAACCCAGCTAAGCAACTGAAGCAAACAGTCAGCGACATCAAACATGAGGTACAATCTCAGCTTCAGCAATCCAGACAAACAGGTGTAAGAGTCCAGAAGATAGCGAAAAGACTCAAGAAGCTACACATAAGCGGTCTAAACAACGCTATAAACTCAGCAACTGTTGTGGCTGTGCTTATTGCCACAGTGGCCTTTGCAGCAATCTTCACAATACCCGGTCAGTACGAAGAGGACCGGTCGAAAGGAGATTTGCTAGGACAAGCTCATATAGCAAACAAAGCACCATTTCTGGTCTTCTTCATATTTGACAGCTTGGCACTGTTTATATCCTTAGCTGTTGTTGTGGTGCAGACTTCAGTTATTGTGATTGAGCAGAAGGCGAAGAAGAAGCTTGTGTTTGTGATCAACAAGCTCATGTGGTGTGCTTGTTTGTTCATATCCATTGCCTTTGTTTCTCTCTCTTATATTGTTGTTGGCAAAAAGGAGAGGTGGTTGGCTGTATGTGCGACTGTTATCGGCAGCACGATTATGTTGACTACGATAGGTGCAATGTGCTATTGTGTGGTCATGCATAGGATGGAGGAATCTAAACTGAGGAGCATAAGGAAAGAGAGAAGCAAGTCTCAGTCTTTCTCTATGTCTCGTATGCCGTCTGATTCAGAGATTTTAAATGGTGAATACAATAAGAGAATGTATGCCCTCTGATTTGTAGAGAATTTGGACCATGAGAGATCTCCGCAGAATGTAAGAATAACCAATATATATATATATATATACTTGTATTTTGAACCTGTAAGCCATTGCTATTTGAGCTTCTCGACTAGAATAACAGATCTGTAATGAGAGAGAGAGAAGTTCACTGTACCCTGAAGAACAGTCTCAAAGCAATCTGCTCTTTTCTAATATCCAATGAATCAAAGAATGAAAATGAAGAAACTATAACTGGATGTAACCCGAATCTTAGTTGTGAATAAGATATTTAATATCCTACTGGGTCTGGATGCATTTCTTTTGATGGCTTCACAGTTCTTCTGCTCCTAAGATCTAGCTATAGTTGTGATGTTAACAGGAAACATCATCAACCCCGTCTGGTGGAGTCATCGGTTCTGTGTCTGGTGCTTCCACCACGGTTAGCATCTGTTTGGTAACGAGTGGAACCCTCTAGATTCTTTGTCATGCTGGTTGTTTTAGAATGAACGAGACTAAGGGATTTGGCTGCTGAGGAGCAGTGGCGGACTTTGATAGAGTGGCTTGTTGTTCTGGTCGAGCAGCTTCCCTGAATGATTATGATCAGGGTCACTTCTTTGTCAGAACTTTCTTCAGACAATGAGTTTTGTTGGATGCCATCAACGGACTCCTCTGAGGTGTGAAAGTCTTCATGATGAACCTTCACCTGCAGTGAAGCATCTGGTTTTATAATCCCAGCTCCTGGAGAAACCTAGAAAAAGGTTTTTTTTTTTTTAATAACAAAAGTCATTAAATCATGTCAAATCGTATGGAGAAAACATCAATTCATTGGCGTAAAAGGAGAATAATAACCTCAAGCCAGCGAGGGAGACCAAAGGTGCCTCTTGTATGATTATCAGGTTCCTCTCCATCCTCTCTAATGAGACTTTGACCCTTGCAGACGATGTTGAAGATGGCTCTACTCGAGTTTGAAGTGTTTCTGATAGTAAAGATGAAAGTGTCCTGACTATGAAGAAGAATGTTGTTGGTGCTCACTGATGTTTCTGGAACCGATTTTAGTTCCTCGAACATGGATCTGAGTTTCTCATTGGACTTTACTATTTTCCCTAGCTCCTGTCTTCGCACAGATTTATCGGTGTGAGCTATGTTAGCATGAAGTTTGCACCGCACGGGTTTGTGATCACTCTCAGTCACATCCATGCAAGCTTCATACCTGCAAACACAACGCATAGGAGGGTGGTGGGAAAGAGGGAAGGGGAAAAAAAAGAGAGAAAAGATCAGAATATCGTGGATGGAACATTACATTACAGTCGACGAAACTACAGGGCACTGCAAACTGCATTCTGAATTTGAGATTGATTGGTTGTCTCTATATATAACTCTGTCGCACCATGCGGGTATTCGCTTTTTCTCTCCTGAATCATACCCTGGAGATAGGCGCATCATAGAAATCAATTCCATTGTTTAGTTAGTGAGAAATCAGAGCCACAAACTCATCATAGAGCAACCAGGAGAAATCTGCAGGGTATTTCAAATCTATCTTTTACCTCCAAGACCTGGTTTATTCTTTTCAAATTTGTAAGTCGGCGGGAAGGTGATTAACGCCTCACGCATTCCTTGGAACACTTTTCCCTCATTCATCTCTTGCCTAAGTTGGTCTTTCTCTCTGAGCCAATCAAAAGATCGGTGCGAAATGAAGTCCCTCGCTTCATCGTAGGTTATACCAAACAACCTGTAATTGAAGTCACCGAAAAATGCAACCAGATCTGCTGCTGCTAAATCAGACTTCTCCTCTTCAGTGCTGATGTTTGTATTCTAGGAAACAAAGAAAAAGAACAATAACATTAGTAAGGGACAAACAACAGGAGCTTGAGACCGAGATTGTGAACAAAAAATGTAAAAGCTAATATAAAAAGTTCTTACAGGGTTATTTTTTAGCGCTTGAGCTGATGTTGAAGCACCAGCTGCAAGAGAAAGGGCCCATGGCAAGCCAGAAGAATAAAGAAGCCAAAATAAGTACGTGGAGAAGCCAAGTGAGCAAGACAAAAACAGGTACGGGACTATACCAGCTGCAGCAGTATATACACTTTGTCCTTTGGAAAAGACCATTGACCGATATATGTGATTGAAATCCGCGTTTCTCCGAGTAACTGCCTCCAAGTGAGCAGCCAAGTGACAGTTCACAAAGCACATAATCCGGTCATAAACTCTGATTCTCAAACCCACACCTCCCTGTTTTTTACAATGTAGGAACATTAATATGTGAGCAATAAGATCAACAATGATGACTCATCCTAATCGGAGGTTAGCCATCAAAATCCACTATCATTGATTATTGGATTATACATCATACTAACTGATTTTGTATTAGACAGAACCAAGTGAAATATAGCAGTAAAGACAAACCTTGTTCCCAATGGCGCGGCCAAATCCACAAGGAACTGCTGCGACATCAAGATCCCCGACATGTGTTCTAATACTCTTCCTCACCCTAAAGCAGAAAGTTATAAGACATGAGGTGACAAAAGATGTTAATCTGGAATATATGATTTAACTTTACACTCTTAAGACAGGTGAAAGACTTTTGGTGCTATGTAAGGAAATAAAACTACTGTTGTCTGGTCCACCTGCAATCACTCGAGAAACACAAAAATGTAACACGTCTGAAATGACTTTTTCGCCTACCAAAGAGATATTAGCAGTCCTGCCAATTGCCTTGAACCCATACGTTCGAAAGTATTTCTCTCATCCAGTGCATTTCCAATTGCATCAAGCCACCACTGGCCCACGGCACTTCCTTCAACCCCTACCTACAACCGAAACACCAATTTGAGCCGACTTATACACTCAGCATTATCCCGATATGAAGCGTATGATACCGCATGCAACATTTTAAACATTCTATTGATGATAGTTTTTCTTAATAACTAGTGAACCTAGGTAGTACTGGACAGGTTTTGCCTGCTGTAGTTGGGTTAATGATCTGGTCAACCGTTATTTTTATTAGAAAAATAGTCATGAGTAAATAACTGTAAGAAAAGTAGTTACCGTTTCCTTGGCAGTGGACATGGCTAGGAAACCAGCCCCCATATCCACCTCTTGCAAGCCAACAGCGACAATGCCAACATCTGAAACAGCAGAACCCAGCCAAGACACAAGCGCTCCGCGTGAAGCCCGTCCTTCACCAACATTCCAGGTACCAATCAAGATTTTAACACTGTCTTGTCGGGCATATGTCATTTCCTTTTGAGACAATTCTGTTCGGATTACGCTGTCTAGAGGTCCTGGAGATGTCACATACCATCCTCTTACACCACCATGAGTGGCTAAACTAAAAATGAAACCACCACCTGCTGCTAGCTTTATCACAGGTTCATTGTGTGAAACCCAGCTTGCAATTAGCTTTCCACCAAGATCCAAGACCTGGATGTAACCACTTGCATAACCCACATATATTCGATCACCAAAAGTGCAAAAGCAAAGAACAGCCTGCTGATGATGATTCACCTCCCGCAAGCGGCTTCCATTTCCGTCCCACTGAGCAATTACGCCATTCATGCTTCCAGTCCAAATTGATCCATCTGCCGCTATCGCAATAGCTTCTACTTTCCTAGTGTCTTCTGCAAAAGCTCCTGTACTTCTAGTGGCAGCTCGACGAACAGCTCCTGCAGCTCCCATTATGGCATGGCGCGATCTTTGCAGAAAGCCCTGTGATTTCTCCTTTTTTGGTGCGGAAAAGAACTTCGCTTTCGTGTCTTCAACTTGTTGACCTTGCGTTGGTGGCATGTCCACACGATTTTCAACTTGCCCATCAATATTAAAAACTTTCAGAAGCTCTTTATTCTGAGCATCCCTGCACATATAGATCTCTTTGAATGATCATAATAGAACCACAACAGAAAAAGTTCCAATATTTAAGACTAATGTATGTCATTATTCTCAGAGGAAAAAAGCCTACCATAGTGAGAATGAGAGGTGCTGCACAGCCCACACTTTAGCTCTTACTGTATCAACTAACAAAAACTTGACATCTGACGAAGATATGCTGCATGTACCATTGACAGTAACTTGGCTCCTCAGGTCAATGCCAGACCTCTCAACTAACAATGCGGCCATATGTTTCTCCTCCGGTTTAAGCACAAGAGACTTCTCTAAAGAATCCAAAGTCCATATTTTTATCACACCGCCATCAGAACATGACCACATATCACCTGCATCATAAACAATAAGAGACCACAAAGATTTGAGAATCCAAATACGAACCATCAAAGACTAGAGTAACCCTCTAGGATCAGAGAACACTAACCATATGAGCTTATGACAATATAATTCACAGGACCACGATGAGCTTGCCACGAGAGTCGTTCCTTGAAAGGCTTTGAATCATCCGCAGTAGTCGTAATCGGCTGATTCATTTTCCAGGCCCTAATTTTGCCATCCTTGTGGCCGGTCCACACAAGCCTATTGCCGTGGTCAATCATCAAACACAAGGCAGGCGAGGTCGGAACAGATTCATGAAACGGCGCTGTATCCTCATCCCCTCGCCGTACCTGCCCGCCAAGGCCACAACCAACCTCGTATGCTTCCTCCAAGTTCCAGAACCTCACGCCGTTCTCTTGTCCCGCCCATAGCTGACTTTCTGTGCACGCAATGTTTCTCAGAAACTTTCCCGTCTGTGTCTCTCTTAACGGATGCGGTCGGAGCTCGAGACATGGCGGCCGTCCGGGATTCACCGCGGCACGCACCGGCACCTTAAATACGTCAACGCCGCCTCCTGCACCGATGAATTCTGGAAGGGACTCGATATCATCCTCCCCGCCGCCGTCATTTTCACCGCGCTGTGATGCTGGTTTCGATGGAGGCGTGACAAAACCGTATTCCTCTCCGTTACCTCTTTCACCACTGGTTCTTCCATTGATGATGACTACTCCTTCGGTAGAGAACTCTCCATCGGAGGAATCAAAATAAACAGCTTCAGAATCCGATGTCACGGATTTAATGCCCTCATCAAGGCTATATTTGCGGATTGGATGGTGCGGCTTCTGTTCGTATTGCTCGACATAGGAATGCGTCTTACGGGGCGGCAGAGGATGAGCAGGGGCGAGCGATGCCAACGCCTCCCGCTCGTCTGCTTCAATAATTACCGAATCCATGGAAGAAGATCAAAAGAATTTGCCAAATGAAGAAATTTGGAAATCGGAACAAAACCAACCATGAAGAGGAAATGAGGATGAGAGATGGTGGGAGATTGAGAGAGAGCGAGAGAGAAAGGGAGAAGAGAGCACGTTGCAAGAGAGAGAAACATGGTGATCAAGTGTTTACGGACGCGAAGTCTCTGCTTCTGAGACTCATAATTTATCATGTTCTATAAATAGCAATTTCGAAAAAACATATATTTCACATTCAAAAGATTGATTACATTTTCTTTACATAAGATCACAAAGGCTTATGCTTAATTAAGACTTACATCGACTAAAGGAATATGTTCTTGCGAATTCACAACACCATTCAAACAAGGTGGTTTTGCAGCTCCATAATAGAAGAAGGCCATGATTTTTGAAAGCTCATCTGCTGTTCTAATGCCTGAAAATATGTTAAATTGATTATAAGTACAACAAAAAGGTTAGAGATTCCGGTACTGAACAGTTTCAGGCTTCAAGACAATACCTTTCTCACGGTATAGTATCTTTCCAGCTTTCGTGAAGATGATCTCCGGGTACACAGATACTTTCAGAGCAGAGACCAAATCTGTCTCAACCACAGCATCAACAGCAACACACTGGAAGTAATAATGACCCAGGAGGATTAAGCACAAGACCAACATATACAGCAAGATCAAAGAATGGTTTCAGAACTGGTAAAGAGATATGTCCAAAAAACTTACTCTAGGTGAAGGAAGTCCACAGTTCCATATAACTTGAATCGCCTTCTCTAGTTCTTCCCTGAATTTTTCGTTTTCCTTTGGCCTGGAATTAGCCGATACTCGTAATCAAATTTCAACAACAAAGCTAGAACTACTATATTCAGGATTGAAAAGATTCCATCGGGAAGAAGAGAAAACCAGAGACCTATCTACCAATACAATAAAGGTTGAAACTTTCTACACACTAAATGAGTTGAATCCAAAAACAAAAAAAAAAAACAGCCCAAATAACAATCAAATTCGCATATAAGCTAATCAACCAAATGCAGAAACAGTTCTAAATGTGTAGCATTTTGACAAGCAAAGCAAGCATGAAAATTGGCAAAAGTCCAGTATGAGGAAATGAAAGAGACCACTAGCAGAAAAATTATTTGACATCAAAATAAACTGTTACCACCAACCTCTTGTAGCGGTTGTGAACAAGAACCATGAGAGGACTGATATCTTTAAACACCGTCTCCTCCCATTCTGCAGTTGTGAGATCTTTGATCGGGCGTATATAGTTATCATCTTGCCACACAATCTCCTTCTCACCATCATCTCCTTCATTATCTTCATCATCATCATCATCCTTCTTTTCATTCTTAATCGCTATCTTATTAAAGAACTGGTTGAAACTAAAACCCCAACCATCAGCATCTTCAGGCCAATTAGGATCCTCTTCATTCACAACAAGAGGGTAATCAGCAAGAAGCTTCTGCATCTTCCTCCTCTTCTCAACCATATCAATCTCCTCCTCTTCTTCGATATCGGGATGCTTATCAATCACCTCTCTTATCGTCTTCCTCCATTCCCGTCTCTCTTCTGGATCATCGAGACTCGCTTCTTTCCCGCCAGAGGTATCTTTTTTCACTTCATCTTCGTCATCTTCACTATCACTATCTTCTTCTTTGCCTCTCCATCCCTTCTTCCCAAGTTTATCAACCAACCCAAAAGCTTTCACATTTCGTCTTGACCTCATAACATTCCACTTCTAGCAATACGTCAAAGCAAAAAAGGTTTCAAATTGAGCCAATTCGCAACACATGTAATCAAAATTAGAGGTGGGAAACTAACCGAGGAGGAGGGAATCTTCACCGAAGCAAAACAGTCATATCTCAACGAAGTAACCTCAAAACGATATCTTGAAAGAACCGAAGAAGGGCTGAATCCATTTTCTTGAACAGGGCAAGTGAACTGTGTCGAATATGGAAGAATCATTCCTCCTGAAACTAAATGAACAAATCGAAAACCCAACGAGATTTTTCAAGTTCAATTCCAAAATTGAATTGCCTAGAAAAAAATGAAAAAGGGGAAGAAAATATAACTGAATAAAATAATCAACAAACCCAGCAACAGAACTGTATTTGCCACTGCTTCTTCTTCTTCCCCAGCAACAAGAACAAACAACTTAAAACCCTATAGAAACCTCTGTTTTGTTTTTTGGGATAGAATCGTAGACTTAAAAAAACTGTCAAATAAGAAAACGACACGTCATGAACAAATTGTTTTTTTTTTCTTCTTAATAATAATTTAACTCAGAAATGTTTTTTTCGCGGCCATCAAAAATGTTTTGTTGATAAAGTAATTAATTATAAAAATTCTCCATTAAATTTGGTGAACTTATCTTAAATATATTTATAAAAAATCATTAATGTGTTTTGCAAAACTCAAAAAAGTTTCGAATTTGACCAAACATTGTTGTAATCTCACTGTAATTTCTATTCTGCTAGTTCTAATCCTCCTTTGTGGATGGATGAATAATTGTACAATGATTTACTCAATTCTTAACAAAATTTAATTTCTACGAAAACAAAAAAGAAACTATGGATTAAAAAAAAATACTTTGGTTAATAAAAGAAATAAAGACAAAAGATATAGTGTAACTAGGAATAGGAGCGTAAGAATAAATCAAAATCTCTATTTAAACAGAAAAAATCATCTCCTCTCTCTCTTTTTATATGTTCCTTGCGGAGAAAACAACACTTTCTTTTGTTAGACTTAGCTAAGTGTGGGCGGAGATGGATCGTTTCAAACTTTCAATTCTGAAGCAGAGAGATCCCGGAGAATATTTGATGACGTTCCAAGGAGAAAGAGAAGCAGGAGGAACCCCGTCACAGAGAGGACGAAGCCCGAATGTCACGCTCCACCTTCGTCTCCTGCTGCTCCAGCCCTAGCTTTTGTTGCAATTAGACTCACTCGTCTCCGTCAGGACGACGTTGGAATGTCTGTCTCTAGCACCAGCTCCTGCTCCAGCCCCGGTTCCAGCACCGGATCCAACTCGGTTCCAGCTCCATTTCCGGCTCTGGCTCCGGCTGGCTCCCGTTGTAGCTAGAGATTTTGACATCTACGGGCAAAGCAGCTCTGCTTTGTGACCAATCTCGGTTTTTCTTCTGGACTTTAGCTCTATTGCCGTGTCATGCAAGTTTTACTTTTCTAGTATTTTTCTAGAGTTGCAACTTAGAATTCAAAATTGAGTTTTTAGGGTTCTTACGATTCTTTTCGTGTTTCTTATGGATAAATGGATAATTCAAAATTTTATTCAATTGGTTTTAGAGTTAATAAAAGAGCCATAAAAAATTATTTTATTCTTTCTTATTTGTGGTAGATCTGAGGATATATTGAACAAGTTTTTTTTGCGTATTTTCTTATTTCCCCTACGTAGATTTTTCAATTTAATTCCTCTTTTATATCAACAAGTTTTTGCGTTAGTTATAATATGACTTGAGTTATGAATTATGATATACTTTCTCTTTCTTTTCTTATCCTTTTTATGTAGTTGTGCAGATTTTCATTCATTATACAGTTCGTTAGTTTTTTTTTTTGGATAATAATTATATACAGTATAATGATTTTTGTTTTTTTTCTGTGTGATAAATTTTCCCATCGCCTTTATTTCATATAATCTACAAATATTATTCTCTGCCTGATACCAGTTCGAGATTTGTTGCTTAAACCCAGTGTGTTGAGTTGAGTCAATGCAATCATGCAGATTTTATCGAAATTAGCCAATATATCAAACAAACCATATTTAGGGTTTCTTCTTTTCATGTTGCTTCTTAACCTCTGGTTCGAATGTTCGACTGGCCCATTTCTTCCATAGATCTCCCATTGTCCATCCTTTAGATACAACCAATTCCGTTATTGTCACAAAACACAATATAAACTAGCACAAAATGTTCTCTGTTTTATATTTTGTTTTTCTTAAGACTAAGAGGTTCTTGACCTAAGCATGTTTTTACCCTCAGACCAAGGATCCGAGCATTTTATATGATTCTTTCTCATTTATCACTCGAACCGACAACTTCTAAACTTTTGCTTAAGAGTTTTTACCAATTAAGCTATTGACAAATTGTATGTTTTATAGTTTCATGTAGTGAATGAGAAACGAAACATGATTTAGGTTATGGAACGCTACAAATCCAAATGTGTAGTAGTAATAAGTAATAATTCTGAAAAGAGACAACAAGAAAATAGTTAAAAATACGAAAAAAAAAAAATTAAATTATAAAATCAACAATCTTATGCTTTTTTTTTTTTGTTAAGCTTGAATTTGCCAAATGATCGAAAATCTGTATTTGTCTATGCTTGTGAGTTGTGAGTTGTAGACCATAAACCCCTAGTTTTGTTATTTGGCATAGAAACTGTAGACCAAAACTCGTCAAATAAGGAAGTGATACGCATGGTCAGTCCAAAAAATTAAAATAGTGGTTTGAATTAAAAAAAATATCACGTGACTTTTTTTGTATCTTATAATCAAAATTTTAAATAGCATTAACTTGAAAATGTATTAAAAATGGTATCAAATATTTATGAACAACAATTACTTAGTAAAAAACAAATTTGGTATCATTATCATAAAACTAAATTTATGAGCTTCAAAACAAAGTAACCATAAGTTTATTGGTATGTCTGTCCTCTGGGTTGGACCTCGTGACACGTTATACACTAATAAATTTTTCTTTTTTTTTTAGGAAATGTAAAAGTTTGTTTTCCTTTTACTTTTGGGTTTGACTAAAATATTTGAAAATCACTAATTATGTTAAAAGAAAATATAGTTTACCAATAAAAGAAAAGAACAACCAATTAGATACAAGAAAAATAGGGATTAATTTATTTTTGTGAAAAAAGGAAATAAAGACAAAGGAGTGGAGTAGGAAAAAGAGTTAAAAGAAATTAAAATCTATATAAGTAGCAAACTTCCTCTTTTATCATTCACCCTACAATATCTACCAATCGGCTCATCGTTATCCGTTCTTGCGGAGAAAGCAATATAAATTTCCCCGAGTGTACGCAAAGATGGACGCAGAGAGTGATCAGAGGATATTTGTTGACATTCCGAGGGGAAGGAGAAGCAGGAGGAACCCATTTGTCTCCATATATGCCGGGATATCTGGTTCCACCTCCATCTCCTATTTCTGCACCAACTTCAGCTCCGGCACCAAATTTGTATTTGATTGTCATTATCTTTTGGTAGATTGTTTGCTTTCTTCTCAAAAATAAAAAATCCCATAGTTGTTGAGAGTGCAAAGTTTTATCTTATATTGTTTGGATTTTCATTCAATATAGTTCGCTAGCTTCCTTAAACAAATGTGATTGGATGTGATAATAATGAAATGTTCTCTTTTTTCTTTTGCACTGGATATGATTTTCTTCTCACTGCCTTTTATTTCATACAAACTTCATTCCATAATAGTATAATACAAATGGTATTCTCTATCTGAAACCAGACTGAGATTTGTTGCGTAAGACAAATGTTTTAGTGAATGCTATTAAGCAGATTGGATCGAAATAAGCCAATCAAACAAACCAAGTTTAGGCTCTCTTCTTTTCTTGATTTTTAACCTTTGGTTCGAATACTTGACCAGCTTCTTCCATAGATCTCCCACAGTCCATCCTTTGGATACAACTAGTTCCGTTACCTGTCCCAAAGCACCATATTAATCAGAACAGAGCATTGCTCTGTTTTGTAATTTGATGTAGCGATAAGAGACTAAACCTGATTTAGGTTTTGGAGTGCTTCAAATCCAAAAGTGTAGTAGGACATTAAAGGTCTTTTTGCCTAAGAAGAATGTAATGCTGTGAGCCAAAACACAACCATTGATTGATAATTACAAGCAATTAAAGGAGATAAGAGTTTAAGATTACACCTGTGAAACAGCAAGCCACTGAAGAAGAGACTTGAGCTCAGGATCTCCACCATAAGCACCGCATCCCCAGTTCCCTGTAGCAACACCGACTCCATCTTCATGATATATGCACTGCGCGTTGCTCTGATTCTTGCAAACGTGAAGAAAACCACATAGAGCCTTATTGGCCTCCCTGAAGAAGAAAGGATCAGAAATGTTAAGATACAGTTTGATACAAAGACTTTTGAAAATGTAAGAAGTTATTGTTCAACTATACCTGAGGAGGGATTCAAGTTTGTATTGGGAGACTCCTGGATGACGCAGAGCATCTATGGCTACGATTCTCGTTTTTCGCCTTCCGAAAACATCTGTTTCCTTTGTATCAATGTAGTCACCGGAAAACCGAAATGAAGATGAATATCTGCAGAAAGTAGAAAACCATTTTAACAACATTTTCAGAATCACATTGTATAATTCAAAGTACCATGTACCCTGTGTAATGAGAGAATCTTTCTGCACCAACAACTTCAATGGCTTCAGTGACTTCCATGGTTGGTAAGAAGAGCATACCAACGATCAATTCTGGATTGATCATAAATCTAATCTCTTCCTGTTTTTTTTTTCAAGAAACTATACACATAAGAAAACTTCACATGATCAAAAGGAATTTAGGTTTACGGTTTATATACCTGGACACATCCCTTGCGAAGAGCGCCACCTCCTAAGTTCTTGTTGGCAAAGTCAACTTCAAGAGCTTCAACGCTTTGATCCTCGATCAAACCAGAAGTATGAACCTACACCATTGAAAACTGTAGATTAAACACAAAATCTTTACAGAGCCAACAGAACATCAAGCATTGATCTCATCTGGTTAATATATTACCTCAACAGGGCAGAGACTGACAGTAGATTTTCTCCAAAAGCTAAAGACTAGAAGAACCTTGTTCTAAAGAGAGAATCTTTCGTTCGAATGAGACAAATCCAGGAGGGATACATGAAGATAGCTTCTGGAAGTAATGAATTATGCACTTTATCTTGTTCTCTTGATGCTCGTTTTGTCCCGTGTTGATTAGGCTCCTGCAATAAGGTCAACACAGGTTCTTGAATCTTGATTTTGGACATGAAGTTTGTTTGAGAATGTATATATACCCGAATAGTTTGTCGAAATTGATGATTGGAAGATGATTCGAGCCTCTATCATCGACAGGAAATAAACAGAAGAAAGAACATGAAAGAAATGCTCCTATAAGTTCCTGCCACGGCCAAAACAAAAATGAAATTCCAGATTTCAAACTCTGTTTCTGTATTGAAGTATTAGATTTTTGGAAGATATACCTGGCTGAGGAACACAATACCGGCTTTGTTGGGGCCTAAGACACGAAGACCGGTTTTGGTTCCATTGATGAGATTGTCTGAATTTAGATAGTGTAGTTCCAATAGAGATGGGAATCTCAGAAGAAGACAAGCCATTTCAGGTAAAACCTCGTTAAACCATCTGCTTGATTCTTCTTTCGACATTCTCTGCAACAAACCAATACATTATTCACTCAATCAATCCAAGAAATTATAAAAAAATATGAAAAATAATGTTGATTTTTTTAGTTACCTCGTCGAAGAAGAGAGCATAGCCTTGAAGTGCTGAAGAAGAAAGATAAGAAGTCAAAGAGAGAGCTTGTCTCATGTCAGAGATGGAATCATAGAGACTTTGTCCCGAAACAACTCCGCTTTGACTCGGTCCTTTCGTCATAGCTTCTAAGATCTCCACCAAGTGTGGTGATGGCCAAGACAGAGACGAATCTTGAATCTTTAACGGCAAGTAGGGTAAAATTGTCTCAAGATCTTCTCTTTTCTCCATTGCTCTGTTCTCTTGCTTCTCAAGGTAAGGTTGCAGGTTTCTTTCTGAAGAATGAAGCACAAAACATAGTTGACTTTCATCTACTTATATATATTGATACCTAACTAACATAGTTGACTTTCATCTACTTATATGACTATAGAGATTAGTTTATTATATCATTCCTTGGAGATCAAGAAACGTGGAAACGATTATACAGACAAACTCAAGTCTTCTACAGCTCACCACTCTGATTAATTAATTATTCAAAGGATATATTCGGTCTGACATTCGAATTTAAAATCATAAGAAAGAATTAGATGAGTATAGAAAATAAAATCTCAACAAGTAAAGCTAAATCCATGTATGGGACAAAACTGATCTTTTTACAAAATTGCCTCAGGGTTGCCTCCAGTGGAATCTTAAGAGATGTACATCAATTTTAAAATTTATATATACATTTGATGTAGATATCTAGAACTAAAGCCTGGCTAACCTCTCTATAGAAACCATAGAGCAATTCACAAACTATACTAAAAGAAAGAATACATATATAGAGTGGAAAATGTGAGCTTCACCGCTAAACAATTAGTTATAAAGGTTCCCATTCCATTTTGTTTCGTATTTCAGATAATGTGATAGTTCAGACTTTCATTAGAGACGTCGTAGTGGACTTAAATCAATTTTTTTAAGAATTAAGAAAACAAAAACAATAATTACAAGATACAGGCAATGGAATTAGTGATTATCTTATAAAACCACTTAATTAAAAATTTATAGAGATTATGACGTAGAGAAAAAAATTTAGTAGAGATTATCTCAAACCAATAAAAATGTACAGAGATAATATTCACAAAGAAAACAAAGATTTAATTAATAGAGATTTATATATACCTTGTGTTCCTTTGAGACCATCAGAATCCTATATAAGTAAAACTATACCTCCTCCTCTCTGCCGCTTGACTCTTTTCTTCTATTTTTGATAACAATGGAGAGAGGTGATGATCAACTCAAGCGTTTGCAGAGAGAGAAGAGATCATTAGATATTTTGTCTGTTGGCACGGAGAGAATGGTTAGAGCTTTTAGCTATGAGGATAACGGAGAAACGTCCACTGAAGATGATGCTAGTGCCGAGGATAAAAAGAGAGAGAGAAGAGATATTAACAACGGTCTAAGGAGCACAACGATGATCACTAGGTCGAGCAAACGACTGAAGATTGATGAGTGCGAGAATCAAGACCCGAAACAAAACCCTAATCCTCATGCTTCTTCTCCAAGTTTGTGCCATGTAGCGTCCAAGAGGCCTCAAAAAGTGGTACCAAACAAACTGGTAAGACGAAGAAAGCCGGTTAGAGTTATAGTGACGGATGAAGATAGGAAGCCGCCGGAATGGCTGGTTAACATGATGAGAGAAAAGAACAGTGTGGATGCAAAGCTGATATTTGTCAAGGTTCTTACCAATAGTGATGTTGACGATGACAAGACACGTCTCTTGATGCCCTGGAAACAGATACTGGATATGGGCTTCTTAAACAAGGAAGAGTTAGGAATGATAGATAAACATTACAGAAAAAAGAAACACTACAAAAAGATTAATGACAGTGACAAAGGAGCGGATGTGACCTTGGTGAATTCTAAGGGTCAACAATGGAAGCTAAACCTCAGGAGATGGGATATGTGGTCCACTTCCAACTACGTCTTGGCTTCAGGATGGAACAAGGTCGTCCCCGGTAACACTCTAGAGGAAGGCCTGAGGCTTCGGCTCTGGTCCTTCCACTCCCTAGACAAGCTCTATATTGCTCTCGTTCCTCTGGATCCAGCTCCAGCTCCAGATCCGGCAATCCCTCTGGCTCCAGAACCAGCTCCATCTTCACCTCCGGCTCCGGTTGTTACTAGAGATTCTGACAAGCTATATATATCTCAAGCTGAGGCTCAAGAAGAGAGTGACGACAGAATAGTTCCAGATAAAGATTTGGAGTGCCTAAATTTATTTGCTGAAGTGCCCGAGGAGACAATTCGTCTCGAGGCTCTACAAGAGGCAAATAGGAGGAGGTCACTGGTCTCCGACACAGAGCTGGACGTCGAGCTCCGGTTGTAACTAAGAGATTCCAGCCAAAAACAGCTCTGCTATGTGACTAATTTCTCTTTCTTTTTTGTTTTTTTTTAGTTGTGGATTCTAGCTCTACTGCCGTGGTTTGCCATGCAAGTACTCTTTTTTTTTTCAGACACTCGAAGATGGTTTGTTTTGGATCTTTTTATTTTTTAGACAATGTATTCTGAGTGGTAGTATTTTATTAATGGTTTTAGTGTTATTTTTATTTTCATTCCTTATATAGTTCCTTCTAACTTGGTAATAGTTAGACTTTGACAATGATACAAAATACTTCCAGAAATTGGCATGACGGAGCCTCGAAACAACAAGATTTGAAATAGATTTTATAAATTCCTTGGCACTTTCAGTCTTTCAAATCTTTGAAGAGCATCAATGAGGGGAAGTTGTAGAATTTTCATAATCATAGCATGTAGTTGTTTTCCAGTTGTCTCTGATGCCGGATTTGTATAACCGGTTTGAGCTTTGTATCCTCTGTTATTTGATGTTTGTTTAATTTTTATATCCCACTTGCCTTTATTTCGTAAGATCAGAACTAACCATCACATAAAGACTTTATTTAATGGGTATTATTAGACTTCACTACAATGGGTTAGCAATCCAACGCTTTTAGCTAGACTTCAAATGTCAGACACAGACAGAGACATGGATAATACATTACCCATAATTCAGAAAATAATGTAACTCTGACTCAATTTTTCCTCTAGGTAGACAGTGAGGTCATGAGCCACGAGAAGAAGCCAAGCCATGTTCTTCTGCTGAGCCTCTCTGAAGAATACTCAACTAGCTTTTTCCATAGGTCTCCTACAGTCATTTCTTGCAAAGCGACCCTTTCGATCACCTGAAAACATATATATATATATAGCATGTTTTATTAAGGTCTTGTAATGGGAGAAAGAGTGGTTTCATTGTTTAATGAATTTAGAATTCTAATAACCTGATTGAGATTTTGCAGGGCTTGGAGGCCAAAGGTGTAGTATGACATGAAGGGTCTTCCTGACTAGAGAAAGTAGATCGAGAGTGTTTTTCGCAGTTAAATGGAATGACAATTACGTTTTGCAATATATTGATGAAAACAGAGAAGAAGCATGCATGCCTGTGAAATGGCAAGCCACTGAAGCATGATCTTTAGTTCTGGATCACCTCCAAACACACCGCATCCCCAGTTCCCTGTAGCTACACCAATCTTCTTCTCTTCATGATCAATACACCATCTATCAGAGCTTTCTATAACTTGGCTCGCAGAATCTGATGTAAGAGGAACATGCTGCTATGCGAAAACAAATTTAATCTTGGTCTAGTCATGAAAAAAAAAGCTTAACATGTATGCTAAATTCATGTGTGGAGCATAATTATGGTCTTACAGAAGATGATGCCTCAGGATGATGCTTAACATCGATTTTATATTTACATTGATGCATGTATCCGCTAAAAGCCTTGTTAACCTCTCTATAGAAACAAAAGGAGCAATTGAGTAATTCACAAACTAAAAAGAAAGAATGAGAAATTGGCATGAAAGGCAAGTTTTGATTACCGAATGAGGGCATCAAGTTTGTACTGTTCCATTCCTGGGCCAGGCATGGCATCTATAGCTATGACTCTCGTTTTTCGCCTCTTGAAAATGTCTAAATCCTTCTTGTCTGTGTAATCGCCAGCATATTGGAACGAAGGTCCATACCTGAATGGCACCACTATGTGTTGAATTATGTGAACACTAATAAGCTTAACATATACTTCAATTCACTGGTACTTACCCTGTATAACGCGAAAATCTTTCAACACCAACAATCTCAATCGCTTCATTTTCATCCATACGAGGCAAAAAGATCATGCCAGCGATAAGTTCCGGGTTGATCACGAACCTTATTTCTTCCTACATAGGTAGAAGTTTTGACATGTTCCACAAATTATCATGTAAGAAAAACTTAGAACCCAATTTAGTGGATGAGATAATAGAGTTTGCAGGAAGAGTTGGAAAAAAAGGAAGTATGAGTCAAACCTGTAGAGTATCATAACTTAGAGTAAGGCCTCCAAAAAACTCATCTGCAAAATCCACTTCAAGAGCTTCACCAGGTTGATCCTCTATAGCTCCCGAGGTGTGAACCTACTCCAATAAAAAGAATGGATCAAGAGGAGAATAACCTAAAGCATACTCATGAATCACCCCAAAGAAATGGATTCAAAAGAAGGCTTAATTAGGAGTGTTTCTATGTATACCTCAATAGAGCAAAGTGGGGTGACAGAATTAGCCCATGTATCAGCCCCAGGATAAGAAACAAAGTGAGGATGGTATTCCAGTGGAAGAATTTTCCTCTCAAATGAAACAAAGCCGGTGGGCATACATCGACATATTCTTCCAAAGTAATGGATAAGGCACTTTATTTTGTTTTCTTGCTTTGTGCAGTCACGCATATATGGAAACCTTTAAAAAAACACAAGAAAGATTTGTGACTTTGGGGTATATATGGTTGTAACTTTTAAGAAATATGATGAAGCCACATACGAAAACAATCCATCAAAGTTGATTCCTTGAAGTTTATTTAATCGTCTGTCAACTTCAGGGAACAAACAAAAGAAGGAACATGCAAGAAGAGCTGCAATTAACTCCTGCAGAAGGTAGCAAATATATTAAGGGGTGAAAAAGTAGAATAATAGAGGAACGAAGCTTGGTTGAAAATTCACTTTTAAAGAGTAGTAGAAAGGTACTATATCAACTTTCATTCAATGCAAGACAACACATGTTTTTGTTTGTTTGTTTGGACTCAAAGAGTATATATACCTGGCTAAGTAACACAATTCCAGCTTCTTGAGGGCCTAATAGGCGAAGCCCCGACGTAACTCCATCAAGAACATGATCTGCCTTCTGATAGTGCTTTTCTAACAGGGAAGGTAACTGGAGAAGTAATCTGCACAAGGCAGGAACCACCTCACCAAAAAAGTTGGCTGACTCTTCTCTGGAAATTTTCTGCATCACAAAAAAAAAAAAATTTCTTAATGCTCCATGCCAATTGTCCACCAATGAACAGAATAACACAAACAACTAAGAAAGTAGACGAAAGGACAGAAGAATTGTTACCTTGTCAAAGAAAAGAGCATACCCTTGTAACGCATAAGGTGCGAGATCAGATGCATTCAAGGAGAGGGATTTCTGAATATTCGTGATATGCAAGGCAAGAGCCTCCCCTGAGTTAACCATTGACTCACTCGGCCCTCTAGACATTGTTTGGAGCTCTTCTTCAACAGAAGGTGGCCAGACTAGCGATGAAGACTGAGCCACAAGAGGCAAATACTGAAGAATTGACCTAAGATCTGTCCTCTGTTCCATCCTTATTTCCTGAAAGAGATTTGAAAAGGAGGAGATAAAAGTTTGCAAATGATTAAGGAAAGGAAATGGACATTTGATGTTGTATCTCTATATGACTTGAGTTCGTTGACTATAGTAGCTTAGGGAAAAAGAAACCCATTTGATTTTCTTTATAACAGATGGCACCAAAGTCAAACAGAGGAACACGTTTTCCAGAGAGACCTAGTCAAATTCATTTTCTCTGACAACATAATGTTGCTGACCATACACTTTTCCCGGAAGATTCCAGCAATAGCCCTGTAATTTCAACTGATAATACAAAAAGAACTTGTCTCATTTAAACAAAGACTGATTCAAACATTTCACCAAAACCATAAATCAGCATGCCAAGCTCACTAAACGAATTATGCTTGAGGTCAAGAACCGGTGAAATTACAACTGATTCAAGCTTGTAAGACGAAAATAATCACTTTTTACATATCCATGTGGGAAAATGCATAGATACAGCATGATAATGCATCAAACAAGTTAATAAAGGCGAATTTTCAGAGTCAAGGAGACTGGACAGCTTTGTTGGTGGTAGCTAGAGATGGAAGCAGCCACGAAAAGAAGCCAAGATTGGTTTGCTTGTAGAGCCTTTGAGCAGAATATTCAAGCATCATGATCCACAGATCTCCAACAGTCCATTTATGTGAAATAATCCACTTGGTAACCTGTCCTTGTAAGAGTATGTATCAGTTGCAAAATCAAGTTTATGTCCACACACGACCTCAAAAGTACAATACCCTGGATGCTCTATCCGCTTACTAGAAACCCAATTCTAAGTAAAATGTCAGTTTTAAAATCAGAGAAGAGAAAAAGAAGAAACTGAAAGAGAGGTTCTAGAATTGGGAAGTTTTAAAGAGGAAGATATATAGGTTACCTGATCTAGGTTTTGGAGTGCCTCTACTCCAAAGGTGTAATATGATATAAATGGTCTTCGAGTCTGGAAAATAGCCATGACCAAGTTAAGAAAAAAGCGCCAAATGAAACTGCTATATATCCCATCATCCAAACCGAAGCTTTGGTTCATTCTAGAAAAATTAAGTCAACAGTGACAATGGAGTGTTTCTTGCAGTCAAAAAACAGACTAAGTCTGTGGTTTCATAGACAGAAGATCTTTATGTTTTTTTTCTTATGGCCTATTGGCACTTATACTCCAAGAAAATAATAATTTCAGTTTTTTTAGCTGATAATGTATAAAATCACCTGGGAAGCAGCAAGCCATTGGATCGTAGCCTTAAGCTCTGGGTCTCCTCCAAAAACACCGCATCCCCAATTCCCTGTCGCGACACCATCATCTTCATTATCCTCGCAATGAACTCCTTCCACATAAAAATCTCTGATAAGATTGTTAGCAGGCTTTTCTCTATTAATCTCGACATCATTTAGTGGAGTTCCGTGTAACTGCATCGGAAACAGTAGAGAACAACAAAAGTTTGAAACATTATTTTTCAAAAGCTAAATTCAAATTGGCTACAAATGATAAAAGGTACTAAAGGTTTGTACGAAGATTCCAACCGCAGTAGTTTCTGTACGCAGAGGACCAGAATCTCTGTCGTTTCTGGCAAGCTGAATTTCTTTATCTCCTTCATCTATGAATATATTCTGGTGCTGCCAAGACTTGCTACAATTTAAAAAGCCACATAGTGCCTTATTAATTTCCCTGGAGAAAAACATAAAGAGAGAGAGATAATGAGACATTGGCTTTCAAGAGAATAGAAGAGTATAGAACGAACTTAAAAGCAAGACTCCAAAATGTTATATTGACACAAACAGTGGATTGTCTGAAGAACCTATGAATCCCCAAAAGAAGGTTTCACATACCGTAAAAGGCATATATCTTTAAAGTGTCTCATCTTCAAGGCACATAATGCATCAATTGCAACAATTCTGGTTCTTCGCCTTTTGAAAGGATCCATTGCCTTTTTGTCAATGTACTCACCAGCAAACCGAAACGAAGATGCATACCTAGGTAGAAGTTTTTTTCATAAAAATAAAGGTAAATAATTAACCTTTATCCAAAACTTAATTTAGATGCGAACTATCGGCCATTTCTAAGTCAGTAATACATAATTATCACCCTTATTTATGAAGCATATCTACAATATAAGCAATAATTTAATATACACTTCTTTTACTATTTTTCAACATGCCTCAATCAGGATTTGTACAAACTGATCTGAAACGAGCCTATTGGTATGTAGAAGTATCAAAATACAGACACTTATCAGCCAAAATCAAATAAACACAGACCAATGCTCCAAAACTACCAAATCTCACCCTGTGTAGCATGAAAATCTTTCCGCACCAACTATTTCTATAGCTTCATTGTCATCCATGCGAGGCAAGAAAAGCATGCCAGCGATTAATTCAGGGTTAATCATGAAGCGTATCTCTTCCTGGACAAGAATCCAATTGGAAGTCAATAAAAAATCCTAAACCATTGATTTACAATAGATCTTTTGACCAAAACAAAATGAACTCAAGAATCATGTATGCTTCTGAAATCTAAAATGTAATATGAATCTCAAACCTGTACGCACCCCCTACTTAGGGAACCACCTCCGAAATACTTGTTCGCAAAGTCCACTTCCAGAGCATTGTCAGGTTGATCTTCAATTAACCCAAAAGAGTGAACCTATAACGATAATTCGATAAAGCTGTCGGCAAAAATTAATGTCCAAGCATTTGCAGATTTAATGGTACAAGGTACAGAAATCACAAGCCAATATTTGTCACCTTAAATGCACAAAGAGAAACGTCAGACTTGCTCCAGAAATCAGTGTCGGGAGCAGCGGTAGAGGAATTGTGGTATTCAGCTGGAAGAATCTTGCGTTCAAATGAAACAGTACCAATAGGCACGCAGGAGCAAAACCTTTCAAAGTAATGCATAATACATCTTATCTTGCTTTCTTGACTTTGACTATAACTTTCATAAAGGCTCCTGAAAAACAAGTAAGAATCTGATGTCAGACTGTGGGTACTGGAAGTCCAAGAATCCAAATGAAACTTACTCAATGCACGCTAGACAATTTTTAGAATTAAAATCTTCACATGACACATGATAGCCAATGAATCATAGAAATATGTGGTTTTTCTCACAACATGCTAATCCAAGTCTAACTAGTGAACTCCAAATGGAGACTGACTCTCGAGTGTGAATGTCAAGAAATACATATTAAAAGTTCCCTTTCTTTCATATACTTGCTTGATCATTTATGACTTAAGCCAAATGACTGACATTAGGCATTTCTTCCAGACCAGACTGATGTAGGCTTAATCACTATGAAAAGTTTAGAAGAAAAAGCGAGAGATCACATACGCAAACAAATGATCAAAGTTGATGACTGGAAGGTGTTTTGCACCTCTATTATCATCCGGAAACAAACAAAAGAAAGAGCAGGCAAGAAGAGCTCCAATCAACTCCTGCAATATTGAAGTTCGAACGGACACGTAAGAAAAGGAACAATCCATAGAAACACACATACACACACACTATATCTTCAACAACACAAGGTCATTATCCAGTAAGAACACATATATTCGACCTATTTTTCCCTCCCCATATATCACTCAAAGAGTCAGGACAAAAGAAATAGCAATTTGCATGAATACCTGGCTGAGGAAAACAATGCCAGGTTGTTGGGAATCTAACAAACGGAGACCTGTTTTGATTCCACTAACGATATTATCAGCATTTTGGAAATGCACTTCCAATAGAGATGGAAACTGTAGGAGTAACCTCGCCAATGCTGGGATAATCTCATCGAACCATCTCTTTGATTCTTTCTCATTAATCAACTGCAATAATTATCAAGATAAGAACTTTATTTCACTACTCAATTCATCACCAGAATTTGATTTGAACCAAATTCAAGGAGAGATAATTACTTCGTCAAAGAGAAAAGCGTAGCCATGAGAAGCAGAGGGCTCGAGAGTTGAGAAAGATAAGGATCGTCTCATATCGGAAATAGCTTGCGATAGAACCTCTCCTGAGTCAACTCGGCTGTGAGATGGTCCTTCAGACATTGCCTTTAACGCCTCCACCACGCGCGGTGGCCAGTACAGCGACGACGAACGAATTACAAGCGGAAGGTATGGAAGAATCGAGTTAAGATCTTCGCGATTCTCCATTTTTTAATCTCTCTCACTTGCCTTTGAAACAAGTCTGCGAATCGCTTCTGCGACAAGATTCTGCTGCCGCTTGAGTCCCAAAGTAAAGAAAGTCAAGAATGAGAAGGCGAAGGCAAACCGGTTTGCTTGAACCGGGAAATTGGAACTTGAACCATATCAATAATGTATGGTTTAGTGGGATGCACCGGTTCAGCTTGGTTTTCTCTTTTTTTTTTTTTGTCATCTGGATTTTATTAAAATTATCATGGTGGGATACTAGTGGATTACAAACACCGGTTCAGCTTGGTTATAAAACCAAATTTTCAAAAAATTATTGTTTGATAGTGAAAAATCACATTATTATTGTTATTATTTATTAATGTATTCTCAAGTATATAATCACTTCTTGTTAGCTATTTAGTTAACTCTTATTAAGTTAAGAGCCAGTTTCGACTTATTTCACACTCACCAGTTTGGAATCTTAATACAGACAACGAACTTATCGACGGAAAACGCTAAAGAAAGTGACTGGGAAATAAAAGGTGTGGAACATGTCATTTAATTTTTTCTAACGTGTAGGAAACGGTGGCTCACTATGGAACCCACAGAGTAGACTTTGACTTATCAACGCTTACATAGTCAAGTCTCTAACAATGTTCGTTATATTAATAATTCAATATTGCAACTTTCTATATTCACATTTTCTACTTTACTATTTTCCCATACTTTTTCCTGGAAGAAGGCAAAAAAACCAAATGTACACTTTAGCCCCTTTCACAGTTCAGGATTATCAGTTTCTACAATGGTTTTTTCTTCTTCAGACTTTTTAATTAAAAACAGAACTCTTATTAAGAATATAAAATGATTCAAAATTTTATTCGGAATCTATTTTTCTACAAAACCATTGATAACTTAGAGAAGATATATCCTTTTTTATAATTTTGTAAGTAGCTCTTATGTAAGTATTCTATAATATATCATTACTATCAAACTTATCAAATAAAGTTTACAAATTACTTGCAATATCCAACAACCATTTATTTATTTTTACATATGAAGCCGGGGGCTTTGATCCCTTGAACAAACCATATATTTTTCACTGTTAATTAAAATTTAACAATTATTATAAGTGTAATAATAATAATAATAATAATAATTAACTTTGTAAATTTATTTTGTAACTTTATATTTTTTGGGTCAAATATATTTTGTAACTTCAAAACAAATTTTTAGAAGGAAAAAAAAAACCCACGAAACACGTAAAGATTTTTCAATAGATTAGTGTCAGTTGCTGACCATAAATAGCCAGAGTGTAGACTCCGACAACATCCACAAGAAGAAACTTTCTCTAATTAAAATGGCTGTTCCCACGGGAAACGCCCATCTCTTCTTTCTCCGGCCTCTCATCCTCGCCGTTCTCTCCTTTCTTCTTCTCTCTTCATTCGTCTCTTCCGTTGAGTGGCTCGATCTCGATTCATCAGATCTCAAAGCTCTTCAGGTCATCGAAACAGAGCTCGGAGTCAACAGTCAACGTTCTTCATCCAGTGATGTCAACCCTTGCGGTCGCCGAGGAGTTTTCTGCGAGAGACGGCGTTCTGCCACCACCGGAGAATACGTTCTCCGTGTCACGAGGCTCGTTTACCGATCCAGGAGCTTGACGGGGACTATCTCTCCGGTGATTGGAAAGTTGTCGGAGCTCAAGGAACTCACTTTGTCTAATAACCAGTTGGTCTACGCTGTTCCGGTGGATATCTTGAGCTGTAAGCAACTTGAAGTTCTTGATCTTCGGAAAAATAGATTTTCCGGTCAAATTCCGGGAAACTTTTCTAGTTTGAGCCGTCTTCGAATCCTTGATCTTTCTTCGAACAAATTCTCCGGGAACTTGAATTTCTTGAAGAATCTACGCAAGCTGGAGAATCTCTCTGTTGCAAACAATCTCTTCTCAGGCAAAATCCCGGAACCAAGTGTGTCGTTCCACAATCTCCGGTTCTTTGATTTCTCCGGAAACCGGTATTTGGAAGGTCCGGTTCCGGTTATGAGCAATAACAAGCTTCAGACATCTCCACACCAAACAAGACACATTCTTGCTGAAACTCCATCTTCAAATTCCACGAAGAAACCTAACAACAGCACTACATCAAAAGCTCCAAAGGGAGCTCCAAAACCAGAGAAGTTGAAGAAGAAGAAGAAGAAGAGCAAGAAGAAGAAAGTAGCGGCATGGATCTTAGGGTTTGTCGTTGGAGCCATAGGCGGAACAATCTCTGGGTTTGTCTTCTCGGTGTTGTTCAAATTGATTATTCAAGCAATAAGAGGATCAGGAAAACCATCAGGTCCTTCCATATTCAGCCCATTGATCAAGAAAGCTGAAGATTTAGCTTTCTTGGAGAATGAAGAAGCGTTAGCTTCTCTGGAGATCATAGGAAGAGGAGGTTGTGGAGAAGTCTTCAAAGCTGAACTACCAGGAAGCAACGGCAAGATCATCGCTGTAAAGAAAGTGATCCAACCGCCTAAAGATGCCGACGAACTAACAGATGAAGATTCCAAGTTTATGAACAAGAAAATGAGGCAAATCAGATCCGAGATCAGCACAGTCGGCCAAATCCGGCACCGGAATCTTCTCCCATTGTTAGCACATGTGTCAAGACCAGAGTGCCACTACCTCGTTTACGAGTACATGGAGAAGGGGAGTTTGCAAGATATATTGACTGATGTACAAGCTGGAAACCAAGAGCTAATGTGGCCAGCGAGGCACAAGATTGCTTTAGGTATAGCCGCAGGGCTTGAGTACCTTCACATGGATCATAACCCACGAATCATTCACAGAGACTTAAAGCCAGCCAATGTTCTTCTTGATGATGACATGGAAGCCAGAATTTCAGATTTCGGACTGGCAAAGGTAATGCCAGATGCAGTCACACATATTACAACCTCGAATGTTGCAGGTACTGTGGGATACATAGCACCAGAGTTTTATCAAACTCACAAGTTCACAGATAAATGTGATATCTATAGTTTTGGAGTGATTCTTGGGATTCTGGTAATTGGGAAGCTTCCTTCAGATGAGTTTTTTCAGCATACCGACGAGATGAGTCTGATAAAGTGGATGAGGAACATAATAACATCGGAAAATCCTAGCCTTGCGATTGATCCGAAGTTGATGGGACAAGGATTCGATGAACAAATGCTGCTGGTTCTGAAGATCGCCTGTTACTGTACTTTGGATGATCCAAAACAGAGGCCGAACAGCAAAGATGTCAGGACCATGTTGTCCCAGATCAAGCACTAGTGTTTCAACATGTATTGTTTGCTTCTATGTATGTTTTCTAGATTCCTGTTGCATAAGAAATAACTGTGAACACAATCTTGGCAGAAATTTGTAATGAAGACTGTATAATTTAAATGGATTTCAATTATGTTTATTGCTCTAAACATAAATCATCAATCTAATATAAGAATCTTAGCTATATACATAAGGGAAAAGAGCACTTGATTAACAACCTTAAAATTACAATACGTTATACGTTTCGTTACTGTCTTCTTTATATGCAGCCGTTGAGAATCTCCCTCAAATATTCTAGCTGTTCGTGGCTGCCTTCATGTTCTTCCCACTAAAAGAAATAAAAACAACACATGTTCAGTGTATACTCCTGATTGAGATGGGATGACATTATCAATCAATTATGCAAGAGCATGTGAGCTTTTTCCTGTTGAACAAAACATGTATTCTAAAGATGGAGAAAATTTATTATCCTAGTAACTCAGTTATATATTAGTTCTCGAAGTTGGAGACCCACCTCTTGAAGAGACAAAGATACCACTTTCCATCCAGCAGCGGCAACATATCGCCGCTTCAGCATTGTATGCCCTAATGGTAGTCCTGCAGAACACCAAAGTCGAAATGATCATTGAGTTTGGGGGAACTCCACCAGACACGAATATATATATTAAGAAACAGAGTGATGTCACTTACCAGAGTTTCTTGAAAAATGAGTTGGCCCATCGATTTCTAAAGCAACTTTCTTCTCGACCAGAGCAACATCCACGGTGTAGCCATCCACATCATGTTCTTTAGCCCAATCAAGCCCTGTACTTATTAGAAGGCGTCCAACTTCTTTCTGAAAAGACGAGGTTATTTTTTGATTGAATCTTTTGGTTTTTCCTGCACGGCTTATTTTTTCTTCGAGTTCATGACAAAGTGACAACTGAAGGTGGGGGCACTCAAGCTTCAAGCACTGATTCACAAGATACACCTGAGAAGCAAACATGACATCTTCCCTATACTGTTCTGAAAGCCTTTGCTCCTCCAAGGTGGTTAAAGTATTCCATATATTGGCAAAGAAAGGTCGCTCCACTTGCCCAAGAACAGCACAAGACCATGCTATGTTTCCAAGCTGGTCCCTGTTAAAGCTAAGTGCTGGAGATCCTGAAGCATCATCGCTTACTTCAACATCCACTACTTCATCAGAGATTGTTATTTCTTTTGTCAAGTAACACTTGAACTGGTCACTGCTTTTGAAAGCACTATCCAAAGATTCAAGCAAAGGATCAGCTGGCTCATATAGTGAGGCAAATGACCACAATAGTTGAGCAATCTCTTGGCCCTTAAAGGTAATGATAATAGTAGATGCCCTCTTTGACAACTCAGCAAAGAGTTCTGGAGCAGAATGCCGCATGGAAGCAAACGCCCCTGCAATGTTAGCAACATTTTGAGAATTGAACTCCCCAACCTTTGATGTGGCTACTTCTGCAACTCTATCCATCTCTGTCAAATAAAGCAATTCACCCCCGATTTTGGACAAGGCCCAAGAAATATTTGAGATGCCTTGAGCTGAACATTCCGGTAGACATGTCATTGCAAGAGCAACAAGCATTGACATCTCTCTTTGCCGAGCAAATGCAAGCCTACGAGTTCTCATCATCGAAACTTTCTCCATATTCTTGGCAATTCGGTGGAGTGCAGTAGCAATGTTTAGAGGAGACAAAGGCGATGGACTTAAACCTTTGGCGACAGCCATTATTGTCTCAGCTGTTACTTCCAATACCTCTTCAGCAGTCTGTGCTTCTATTATAGCTTTGTTCAGGTTGATTTCCTTCATACGATCAGAAGGTCCTGAAAATTGGGATAGCCTCTGAGCTAATTGCTCCTTCATCTTCTCCTTCTTTTCCTCAAACATTCCACCAGCTAATGAGCTAACTCTCTTCCGCAGATCCCCCATCTTATCCTCCACCAATCCATCTTCAAAATCCAAATCTTCGTCCTCGGTATCAAAATCATCTTCAAGAATATTTTTACTTTTGACCTTTTCTTTCTTTACAATGACTTTCTTGCTCTTTTTCTTTTTCTTCTTCTTCAATGGCATCACCTCCGCCATTCTAGAAGACAATCCTCTGGCCTCAATCGATTTAAGTGCAATTTTCCTTGCCCTTACACACCAATCCATCCCTTCAGTGTCCTCAAGCGCTCTCGAATTCTTCTGCTTTTTCCTCTTCTTCGGAGGTTGAATATCCAACGGATCAATCTCCCCAAGAAATTCTGCCTCCCAGTCCGCATCATCCTCTTCTTCTTCCACTTCTTCCTCCGAGTTACCAATCACAGACGAATTCTGAAACAATACATGAACATTCAAGCTTAGAAACCAACAGACAAATTGGTTACTGCAACCTTATCCAAAAATTTCCACACAATAGGAGCATCATGAGTCACATACAAATAAAGACTAAATCAATAAAAGCAACCACAAGAACTTATTTCCGAGAACTAACCACGGAAAAAGGAAGGTGCTTGAGAGAGCCCGAACGGCTATGCAAGGAACTCCTATGTGCTAGTGGACCAAGTAATCGATACTTCTTTTCAGCGACAGGCCAAAGCCCTGTAATTGATGTAAGAGCGAGTAAGGATATAAAGCTGGGTTGATTGATTAAGAAGAAACAAAGAAGAGAAGAGGAAATTGAAATGACGACCTGATGCGAAAGAGGATGAGGAGAGAGAAAGATGGAGATGGCGGCGGCTGTGGTTAAAGATGCGGTGGCGTATCTCCGGCGGATTGAGAGAGAAGCATCGCCGGAATGGAACTACACACTCCATCTTCTTCTATCGGAGAAAACTTTTGATGGCTCTGTGCTGTGATTTTAACAGAGAGAGTGGGTTTTAGCTAAACCCTCTTGCTAGCTTAGCGAGTTTGCTTAGCTAAAAGATGTCCATTATTTATCCTAGTGATCCCTCAAAATTCGCCTTTTTTATAGAACATGCCCACTATTTTGTTTTATCACAGGTCATTTTTAAAAGATTTTGGATAAAACTATTATGATCAATTTTGGATAGAACATGCCCACTTCTACTAATTATTTTTGGATAACTCGGATTCTATACATATAGAATGGAGTGTCCTAATCTGAAATACACAAACCTACTTCTTTACATAAAATATAAAAAAATCTCAAATTTTAATATTTATGCAATTTTTTGTCAACAACATGTACTTTATGATGTGAATCTAAATTCATATGGTAACACAATGAATCAACGAATATACTACTACAAACTGTATTAAATTACTAGGCTATGTGTCATGATCAATGTATATATATTTTGGTATATATTTTTAGTTTTCAATCAAATCCAAAATTTTACAAATCCAACTGCAATAATATTCATTACACCGTGTATCATTTAGCAAACAAAAATAGACTCAAACGGGTACACAATGTACCATATCAATCTCAACTCTGTCTATACAAAATGTAAATTGTAAGGGATAAAGCAAAGAAAACCCCAAACCAAAAAAAATAGAATAAAGAAGAGAAGGAAGCTTCTTGCTTCAATGTGAGTAAAAAAGTGGACCAAAAAATGGAAAAAAAAAAACTTCTCTTTCTGTAATATATGCAAAACTTTATGGCTTAATGAATAATTTATAAAAGATTCGCAGCTGTTGGAAGTTGGAACCTTCTACAAGCGTGAGAAGGTTCTCTTCGATGTTTGTCTTCCTTACTCAGGCAATGTCTGGAATAAGAAGTGAAAATCAGATCGCTGGCGGAGAAGCGGCGGTGGATCGACGTCGGAGAGGCTAATGTTACCGCCGTGGAAGGATTGCGAAACATCTTCCACTGAGAAAGGAATGCTGAACGATACCGGAAACAATGAAGATTCGAGGGTAATTCATTAGGGAGAGAAACTGAGAAGAAAGCGAGAAATTTGTTTCTGCGTACCTTGAATCGACGTCTAGCAAGAAAGAAGGGTAAGTCATGTTGGCTGAATCTTCCGCCATTAGTTTTCTCATCTGATTGATCACCTATTATCGGCACAAATCGTTGGATCATGAGTCCAGTTTTAGTTTTGTTCCTTAGTTTTAGGGTGTTTCATGGGTTTTATATCTTGGTTCAGTAACATGAGTTCAAAGCAACTAGTAAAGCCAATTGATTGTGAGAACATCGTGATTATATGTTCTGTGAATTTTCTTGTAGAAGTTTTGGAGTTGGTTTGATTGATCCATTACTTACCTCAGGGGAGAGTCCTTGAGTTCCATATTTGTCGTCCCAAAACATAGTCCCAATTCGATATACTTGTGGAATGCTTAGTACCTGAGCAACAAATCAACAAATCAGGAGCTAATGACTGGAAGTAGGACTGTAGGAGGCTTTAGTTTTATGCCATCTTGTCATTATCTAGTTTAATTTATTCAACTAGATTTACTAGATTGCTTTTACTTTATAAGATCTTTCACCCGTTTTCTCATGTATCCAACTGTATAATGTTTCAGAAGTAACCCCTAATAGATAATTGTGTCATAGTAAGATCCTTCTATATGCTTTGCAGAAATTTTTGGTATAAGGTCTTTACCGGGAATATTTCTTTTGCAATCTCGTCCAATGATTTCTGTGTCTTTTGATGTGAGACCTGTAGAGTGATAGTGTATATCAAATATCGAATTTTCACTAGTTTTGTATTTTCACCAATAGATATGGTTCGATGTTATACCAGAAACATCACTGCTTGCCTTATGTGCTGAAGTTCATCCCATGGTGATCGTGCTGCCTGTAGGAGACAAAAAAGAATAGAATTATGTAAGCAAATCTCTTTGTCTTATATTTTATCTTTGCATGATTTGGTTATTAATCCTTTAGCCTACCTCGTCGTCTGCCTTCAGGCACCACTTCTCTAATTCATGCAAGCCCATTTTAAGATATTCTCCGTTGCTAACCGAACAACACTCTCGGCGAAGCAACAAACTGCCAGAATATAAACTTTTCAAGTCAAGCTACGTCATAACCAAATGTAGGTACTTGTGTCCTGTGCAATATATTTTCTGTACCTATTAAAGAGCTGCACATTGATGTACGAGAAAACCTGATGGAAGAGTTTTCTTGTGATCATAGATGGGACCTGGAGATTATTAAGACT